CTTACTGCACAAGAGTTTTATAACTTGTGGCTTTACTAGAGGAAATAAAAATCTTCCAGTTTCAAATGTAATCCAAGGTATTCTTTTTTTTTAATTTTTTTTAATAGAGGCATGTTTTATTTATTTATTCATTTATTTGTTTGTTTGTTTTTGTTTATACAAGCACTGGGTACAGTCAGAAGCGCAGGAGGGTGAGAGAATTCACCAGAGCCAGAGCGGGGAGCAGAGCAGGCAGAAGGACCGAAGTACATGGCTGAGGGGAGCAGCGGGCGGCAGGAGAGGTCTGGGCGCCATGAGGGACCCTCCTCTAGTGGCCGGGGAGCAGCCGGGGATCGAACCAGCGCTGCAGAGGCCGCGGGCAGCTTCGCAACCCAGCACTCAACCGCTGCGCCACCAGGGAGGCCCCAAGATATTCTTTTTTATTATTTAGATTATATACTTCAGGAAACTCCTATGAGTTTGTTTCCTCATCTGAAAAGATTAAAAGAGGCTGGCCCCTTATAGGTTTCCATCATATGTGATCATATGTAAATTCACAGAAAATTCCTCATGAATTTAAAAGTAGGTAGGATGATTGGGAAGCAGAAAACATTTCTTTTTTTCCTTCAAATTAAATCATCATTGTGAATAAATGTAGAAAGGCATTTAAATACATATGGCTGGGCCTTCCCTGGTGGTGCAGCAGTTGAGAGCTGGGCTTCGAGGCTGCCCGCAGCCTCTGCAGCGCCGGTTTGATCCCGGGCCACCGGAGAGGGTCCCACATGGCAACAGAACTTTCCTGCCATGCCTGCTGCTCCCTCAGCAGTGTATTTCGTCATTTTGCCTGTTCTGCTCCCCACTCTGGCTCTGGTGAATTCTCTCACCCTCCCGCGCTTCTGACTGTACCCCCAGTGCTTGTATAAATAAATTAAAAAAAAAAAAAACTTAAAACAAAAACAAAAACATATGGCTATCCTAGTTTTATATTATAACTGTCCAACTGAGAAGATATTGTTTTTGTATGCTAGAATAACTGATAGAAACAAAGATCTAAGTCAACAAAAAATGAGAAGTGAGTTTATTTTGGATTTAAGGCTACTTTTGTGTCAAACACATTGTACTGAATGAAATTCATATGATTACCAAATGAAACTGTGGATGCCTGTGCTGTTGAAATGTTCACTTGGATATTTTCAAATACAGAAGAATTTAAATGTAAATTTGGACACGTTACAGGCAACCCCAATCTGAATTGGGTTGACCTGACAGTGGGTCCTCATCTGCACGCTTGAAAGGGACTTATGAGACTCAAATGCAGGTACGCACAAAAAGGTTAATCTCAGAAGAAGAGAAGCTGTCTTGGTCTCAGTGATAACTTGCTTTAGGTAGACATATATTGAAATTATATGTTTATGTTGAAATAAGTTATTGAAGTTAGACAATACCAGGGCTATTGGAATATTGTCTTCCTTGCTAGTTTGATTTGCCTGGTGATGAAATTACTAGTGACTAGTTCACTATGAAGTCAAGTTAGCACAAAGGAAACATGTAAGTACTTGATGGTGGTAAAATGTCCACCTTCTTAAACTCTTCTAATGAACTTAGTTCTAAAGAAGATAATAGTCCAATTCTAAAGTGCCCCCAGCTGCTGCAGAATACCAGATACTTTTGATATTATGCAGGAGTTCTATTTACCTCACTTAATTTATTTCTGCCTGCCTTGTGAATGAATCAAGAACTTTGGTTTTTAGGGCTGGTTGACTCTTGAAGAACAGTGCAATATTTATATAACATTTTCAGATGTCTCACAACTGAAAATGTGTGTGTTTAAACCAAACTTAAAATAAGCTGAAAACAAAATTGCTTTATTTCAAAATTATACTTGTAAACATGAGAATAACTTAATGATTGATTCTTGTTTAGTTCTCTTATAATGGCAGTGTTACATTTTTCTGCTGTCATTTTAGTATAAAATGTCATTTTAAAATGTCATCTTATGACTGGATCAAGAAAATGTGGTACATATACACAATGGAATATTATTCAGCAATCAAAAAAGATAAACGCATGCCATTTGCAGCAACATAGATGGAGCTGGAAGGGATCATGCTCAGTGGAATAAGCCAGAAAGAAAAAGAAAAATACTGGATGGTCTCACTCATAGCAGGAAGTTAGAAAACCTAAATAAGGGATCAGGAAAAAGACTAATTATAATAAAGTGAAAATCAAAATCAACAAGCAACTATAAACCAGAGACACACTATGGCGGGGAGAAGGGGAGAATAAAGGGGTAGGATCAAAACAAGGGTGGTGGGAATTGTACGGGGACTGTAACCAAGATGAAAATGCATACATTGTACAAAAATGAAAAATGATGTAAGAAATATATAAAATAAAAAATAATAAAATGTCATCTTAAAATAGAAATATATATTTTAAGCATTGGTGCAAAGGTAAATGAAAAATACCTTTTAAATATGTGCAGTATCCTTATTTTATCTAAGAATCCTAAATGTGAAACTAAACAAATTGCCCTGTAATGGAAATGACTTAATTATTTGTGTGTGAACTGGTTTGATCAGTCCTGATAGACAACTTCTGAGATACTGCAGAAGTTTTGAAATTCTTTATTTTTGAAATTTTTAAATGCTTTATTTTGAAATTCTCTTGTCTAACCTGAAATTACATTCCATAGTGAAACATGGTAAATGTAGTGAACACACACACTAAAGGGTGAATCTTATGCTATTTGAAGTGTATTAAATTGAAACTGTTAAAAGTAGTACTTTTGGGGGCCTTCCCTGGTGGCACAGGGGTTAAAATCTCAGCATTATGAAGCTATAGCCAGCCACTGCAGCTTGAGTTCAATTCCTGGTCTGGGAGCCGATCCACATGGCACAGCAGACCTCTCCTGTCTCCCCTGCTGCTCCCCTCAGCAGTGTATTTCAGTAGATTCACCTGTTCTGCTCTCCACTCTGTCTCTGGTGAATCTTACCCTCCTCACCTCTGGCTTCTGTCCCAGTTCTTGCATGCATGCATAAATAAAATAAATCTTAAAAAAATAGTGCATTTGAAGAAATTTGAAGAAAGCAACAAGAAAATCTAAACACCAACATTTAAGCAAAAATAACCAGTGGTTAAGAGTACTTCTGGAGTAGTTGTGTTTTGTTTCTAGTGCATCCACTAACTGTGAAATCTTGAGCAGTTATTTAACCTTCCCATGCCTCAGTTTCCTCTCTAGGAACTGGAGATACTGGCATAGCCTGCCACTCATAGGTGGATGCACAGTTTTTTTTTTTTTTTTTTTTAAAGATTCATCCATTTATGCATACAAGAGCTGTGGTATAGGCCAGAGGTGTTGGGGGTGAGAGGATTCACCAGATACAGAGTGGGGAACAGAACAGGCAGATTGACTGAAATTCACTGCTCAGGGGAGCAGTGGGAGAGTCAGGAGAGGTCTGCTGCGCCATGTGGGTTTCTCCCTGGCCGGCCGGGGGGATTGAACTCATGCTGCAGAGACTGCGGAAGCTTCATAGGTTGCGTCCTAACACCCTGTGCCACCAGGCAGGCCCTTAGATGCAGTTTTTATGTCTAAGTACAGCCCTCATGTTAGTGCTCAATAACTGTTAGCTATTGTTTGTTTGTAGAGTGCTCTAACATTTTAAAAGTACTCTGCTTTAACATTTTAAAAGTACTCTTACATACATTTTCTTACTTGATAACACAAGTACTAGGGAGATTTACATTCCTTCTGCCCCGGTAAAATCGTGAGCAGCTCGGTTTTGGCACTCAGGCACTCCTGATGTCTGGCACGCTCTCACCTCCCCCTCATTTGACAATGCCTGGGGTTTATCCCTGTCTTAGTCTTGCTTTTACCTATTCTTTTAAGATGTCAATAAGTAATATTTAATTATGAACCTAGCTAAGGAAAGTTCCATTTTAAAATAGAAATCTTAAAAACCAAATGAACCTGTAGAATCCAAAAGAAAGGGAGTGCTCCAAGCATGTCAGTGAAGAGGACTGAGCTGCCCACTCCATGGTGGGGGCCTGTTTGTTGTGATGAGCAACCTGATTTAAGTAGTACACTTTGTCCATTTTTATTTTCTTAAAAGATTTATTTATTTTTATACAAGAACTGGGGTACAGGTCAGAGGCACAGGAGAGTGAGAGGATTCACCAGAGACAGAGCAGGGAGTAGAACAGGCAGACGGACAGAAGACACTGCTGAGGGGAGCAGCGGGAGAGACAGGAGGGGTCTGCTGCACCATGTGGGTTTCTCCCTCACTGGCTGGGAATTGAACCTGCACTGCAGAGGCTGCGGACAGCTTCACAGCACTGTGCTCAACCTGATGCGCCACCAGAGAGGCCCCCTTGTCTATTTTTAAAATATATACATATATATTTTAAAGATTTATTTATTTATACAAGCACTGGGTCCAGTCAGAAGCACGGGAGAGTGAGAGAATCCACCAGAGCCAGAGCGGGGAGCAGAGCAGGCAGAAGGACCAAAGTACACTGCTGAGGGGAGCAGCGGACACAGCAGGAGAGTTCTGTGCACCATGTGGGTGCTCAACCGCTGTGCCACCAGGGGAGGCCCTATTTTTATATATTTTTTAAAGATTTATTTACGCATACAAGAACCAGAGTACAGGCCAGTGGTGAGGGGGATGAGAGGATTCACCAGAGACAGAGTTGGGGAGCAGAACAAACAGATCTACCGATAGACACTGCTGAGGGAAGCAGTGGGTGAAGCAGGAGAGGTCTGGCCAGCTGAGGATCAAACTTGTGCTGCAGTGGCTGGGGATAGCTTGATAGCTGTCTTTAAAACCAAAGACACCAGGGAGGACAAAACTTTGTCTATTTTAAAATTAGCTTTGCAGTTCTAAAATGTAAGCATTCTTTCAGATACACAATTGGTACCTTTTTTTTTTTGCGTTTATTAGACTTCACTAATAAATAAGGATTTACTTAAAATTTGCTTTTATTCTGAGAATTTTATTACAAAATGAAACATTTTTTCCTTTGTTACAAAATCAATGACTAGAAGCAAAATGAATAACAAAACAACCATATTCCCTCACTTGGGGATTGAGAGACATTTTTGAGCACACACACACCACACACACACAAATTCTTAGAATAGGAATAAACCTCATTGTGTACCTATTTTTCTCCTCAGTGCTTATGTTCTTTTATGATTTTTATTTCTGAAATATTTTAATGACTATTTCATTATACAGGTGTGGAATAAGCTATATCCTGTGACTAAATATTTAACAAATCTGCATGAAATTATAAAGATTTGTAAAATATTTCCAGAAGTGAAAAAAATGTTTGAAAATCAAGGGAAGTAAGGCCTTTCTCCCAAAATCCAGTCTTTTGGGCTTTTATAATGCTGGTGCAGTTTCAAGTTGAATAATCTAAGATAAATATTGAAACCTGAGGATTCGGAGGAGGACAGTAAACAAAGTATTGAGAAACAGGAATTGGAATGATTTGATCTTAAGAAGAGAAAGTTTACAAATGATTATATATTTATAAAAAGAATATCCCAGAGCACCTTGCATTTCCACTGTGTGGCCTCACAGTCAGTCAGTCTTTGAATGAGCATATGTCTCCAGGTCGAGGCTGCGTGCTCCCAAGCCAGAAATGATCTCATTTCACACACATAATCTGTGTTGTTTGAAGAGTAAATGTCTGTTAAGTGGAAGCAGAACATAATATATCATTGACATGTTAGCCCTGTCTGGAGTGTCTATGCTAAATTTTACTATACTTCCAAAGAAATTGCCAGCCAGGTGACTGTAAATATTGCTAGTATGATACTGGGTTTCCTATGACTGTAAATATTGCCAGTATGTTACTGTGTTTCCTATTCCCTTGGAGAAGAATTTCAGGGCTTTTCCCTACTGCCTTCCTGTAGTAAATCAGGTCCTTGTGTATAGTATTACTGAAATGTGAATATAATTGTGTTGAAATTTTGACCCACTTACTAATTTGAACTGTATGAAATGTTAACTAAACGGTTCTGTATTTACACAGGTATGTTTGCTCACCAGATAAGCATAGTTGGAAGTGTTTCATTTAAGTGTGATGATCTGACAGTCTTGTGGTGCAGCTGAAGGGCAAGTTTTCTAGAAGAGTGATGCAATTCAAGTTTCCGGGCATTTTTGGAGCTAAATGTAGGAGATAAAGCTGTGGACTCTTTAGAGAAACATTAAGAAAGGCAGCAACTGTGGCACATAGCCAATCTGTGTATTTAAATTTTGCTCTGTTAAAGTTGGAGGACTGTCCAATTTTGCTAGCCTTTTGAGCAGTAAGGTATCTATAAACAAAATAATTAATGGCTTATGCCTTTCTAAACTGGGCACAATTCAGGTAAGAATTGCTTGTTTCTGGAGCCTCCCTCATGGCTCAAGGGGTTAAACACAGCACTATGAAACAATCTGCAGCCTCTGCAGCACAAGTTCGATCCCCGCCTGGCCAGGGGAGAAATCCATATGGTGCAACAGACCTCTCCTGTCTCGCCTGGTGCTCCCCTCAGCTGTGTATTTCAGTCATTCTGCCTGTTCTGTTCCCCACTCTGTCTCTGGTGAATCCTCTCACCCCCTGCATCTCTGGCCTGTACCACAGCTCTTGTACGCATAAATAAATAAATCTTTAAGAAAAAAAATAGTCCTATAGTTCCTGAGTGAGTGAATGGAGCTAACAGCTTTCCTTTGTTTATAGTGCCACCTTCTGGAAAGAGAAATTTAATTTAATTTAGTGCAAATGCATCATTGGAGGTCAAATATCTAAAGGTCAGGCACCACAAAGACAACGTTAGTTTTAGTTTAATGATTATTATGAGAATATCACAATGCAGATGACTGAACTGTGAATTTTTAAATTTAGAAGCAAGGCATTGAAAAAATGGATTAGAAATAAAATGTACTTCTTTATTTTATTTTGGAACATCATACTTAGATCATAGTTATATAAATGATGCAATTTTTGCATTATCTCCAACAGATTTAACAGTGTTTCTTGTTAGTTTCTTTAACCATTCTCGTAAGGAAATTTTCCATTATAATAAATAAAAAATGGACTTAAGCACTTACTTCTGACACTTAAAATAGGACCTCGTGGATGAATAATTGGTTGAGGAAGCCCCAGTAGTAGGTCAGATTAAATTACCTGAGGGAGGAAAAGGGGGAATACTACTAGAACTCTGGGGTTTCATTGTCTGATATGGAAGCCATTAGCCACAGGGGCTTATTTTTTTTTTTTAATTGCCTAGACACAGAGATAGGATGACATGACTGCAAAAGTGTGTAAGGAAGCCCGCGGGCCCAGGGCTGGCCTGAGCGCAGGGGCCGCCTGGCAGCGGCGGTGATGAGACCTGGTGCGGCGGGGACGGCACCCCTGTTATGAGAAGTTGGGCTCCTCAGGAAGGAGAAAGGAATTGCGTTTACTAAGCACCTGCTGGAGGTGACCGGAGGCCCTGCAGTGCACGCATGACTGAAGGCAGCCACCCAGTGGCCATGGTGAAAGGAGCACACCAGCGGAGGCCGAGGCCCTGGAGAGAGCACTCCAGCCAGAGGGGCCAGGAGCAGCATGAGAACATAGGCGTGGAGCACAGATGTCCGCAAGCACAGCAGTCCCAAGAGCAGGTTCTATCCCGTGAGGGCCCTGTTGGCAGCCCCTGGGCACCCGGACGGCGCAGACGATGCAGGAGCTCTTCAGGCTGACTGGCGCTGTCTGGGAATGACTTCCATGGTCCCAGAGGGCGCGAGGGGGCGGCCGCAGTGGACACACTGGTTCCCACTGCAGGGGCACCTCCAGGTGACCTGTTCTACCTGCGGGGCCCTGGGGCGTGGAGGCATCTGGACACTCTTTCTCCGCCTGGAGGAGACAGTCTGAAATGGATTGTTTAGTTAAAATGTCTATGCCAGGACACATTAAATTGGTGTTTGAAACGGGGAAAAAAAAAAAGTGTGTAAGGAAGGCTTTGGAATGGTGACTATGTCCTATATCTTTTTTTTTTCACGATTTATTTTTATTTATTTATGCATACAAGAACTGGCATGTAAGCCAGAGATGCAGGGGTCGGGTGGGGTGGGAGGATTCACCAGAGACAGAGCGGAGAGCAGAACAAGCTGGTCTACTGAAACACACTGCTGGGGGGAGCAGCAGGTGAGACAAGAGATGCATCTGCCGTGCCATGTGGATTAGTTCCCTGGTTGGGGATCAATAGCTTGATAGTGCTAAGATTTAACCCCTATATCTTTTTTTTTTTTTTGGTCATTTTTAGGGTATTATTTTCAGAATTACTTTGTATTTTTTTAAAGATTTATTTATTTATGCATACAAGAACTGGGGTACAGGCCAGAGGTGGGGGTGGTGAGAGGATTCACCAGAGAGAGTGGGGAACAGAACAGGCAGATTGACTGAAATACACTGCTGAGGGGAGCAGCGGAAGAGTCAGGAGAGGTCTGCTGCACCATGTGGGTAGCTCCCTGGCTGGCTGGGAATCGAACTCGTGCTACAGTGGCTGCAGACTGCCTCATAGGTTGCGTCCTAACCCTTGTGCCACCAGGGAGGGTCCTAAGATGAGATTTCTTCCCCAGAGTCCTTCTTGGATTTGATATATATGTACATAGCATATATATATATAATATGTATAATTATATATATAATATAATTCTTGGATTATATACACATATATATATATATCTTTATTTCAGAAGGAAAGACATCCTTCTTTGTTCTTTATCATATCTTCACAAACGATAACAGAACCACCATGCTGTCAAGCTATAGGATTCACCAGAGACAGAGTGGGGAGCAGAATAGGCAGATCTACTGAAATACACTGCTAAGGGGAGCAGCGGGTGAGTCAGAAGAGGTCTGATGTGCCATGTGGGTCACCTCCCTGGCCGGGGATCGAGCTTGTGCTGCAGTGGCTGTGGATTGCTTCATAGTGCTGATGCTTAACCCCTTTCGCCACCAGGGAGGCCTGAGTACATTGTTTAAAGTATTCTGTGTTTGTGTGACTCTCTCATTTAGGGCTTGTGAGTAAAAGGGTAAGAAATGTGGAATTTAATAATTTTTTTTCATCCTTGATCCTTTCCCTCCCCTCTCCTCTTAATCTCAGAGCCCTCGGGATGTTATTGTTGTCTATTGGTTTTTGAAAATATTTTATATCATTGAATTGTCAACTATGTAAATTTCCAGAATGTTATTGTTCTGACTCACTTTGCTGCCCAACATTCTGTCAAATTCCCTTTATTTTGTTGAAAATGACCATATTTCCATTTTCTCATGGCTATATAATATTTCATGGTGTGCATATACTACATCTTCTTGATCCAATTATCTGCTGATGGATATGTAGGCTGCACATGTGGCTTCTGATCACTTGAGTAGCAGATAGTATGAAATGAGATGTGCTATAAGTGTGGAATACACACAGCAATTGAAGGTGTAATGCAAAAAGAAATCAAAATATTTCAATATTTCGTATGGATTACATGTGGAAATGATGTTTTGTATATATTATGTAAATAAAATGTGTTATTTAAATTAACTTCATACTACTTGCAATAAATGACACCACTTTGTTCATCTGTAGAAGCTGACAATATTATTGTAACTGGCCCATGGGAATCCCAAATAGTCTCGCAATTTTTCTTAAAAGATTCAATAAGAAGAAAAAATGGGAAAAAGTAAATGTGGGACTAAATCTAATGAAGCTTCTTTTGTACCTCAGAAATCTGAACACTATTTAACTCTGACTTATTTTAGTTTTTGAGATTCATGTTGAGATCCTTGACGATCCCTCTTGCCACGCATCCCTTATTTGATTGTTAATCACAGAACTTCAGAGCTAGATGGGTCACTTAATCTCTCCAGAGGAGGAAACTTGCCTCAGGTCATAAGGCAAGACCTGGGACTTGAATTATGCTCCTTTCCCATTGTGCTGAGCTAAGTCAGCATGTGGGTTATATAACTTTTATATTTGGTGCATTACTAAGTACATTTTGGTCATTGAGCAGATGAATTCAATATGAAGATGAAGATAACACAAAGAGTTAGAGGAAGACAATTCATCCTTGGTTAGGAAATGAAAAGGAAGTTAAGGTTTGTGAGAACCTCTGAAGAATATTTTTCTTAGAAAGGTGCTCCATTAAAATGCAATTAAAAGGATATCACACTAACATTTTCAACTTGAAGGGAAATTAGAGAAACATGATGAAGAGAAGTTATCACTTTAGCACAATGTTGAAACTGTCTGCCCACTAGAATAAATTCTTAAGTACCTGGGCATAATGGAGCACAGTATACACATTCTGTTTCTGTTTTGATGTCCCCTTTTGGATGCTACATAATTCTTTGGTGCACCTGAAAAATGATGAAAATTCAGTTTGATATTTTCTTTATATTGCCTTAAAATTGTGGGGAAGTACATTATTTAGATACTACTACTCTATGTGAACTACCCTAGGAATATTCCCAGAAAGGAAAAAAATGCGTTAAAGAAAATAAGTGGTTGGTTGGAGGTGATCTGATTTTCAAGCCTTATCTGGGCTAATTTTACCCTCCATCTGTTTCACATCTTCACTCATTATAGATAAATCCATTTTATTATTTATTTATTTTTTAAAAGATTTATTTATTTATGCATACAAAAGCTGGGGTACAGGCCAGAGATGTAGGGAGTGGGGTGAATGAGGGGAAGAGGATTCACCAGAGACAGAGCGGGGGAACAGAACAGGCAGACTGACTGAAATACGTTGCTGAGGGGAGCAGCGGGCGAGACAGGTGAGACAGGAGTGGTCAGCTGCACCAAGTGGGTTGTTCCCTGGGGATTGAACTGGAGCTGCAGAGGCTGCAGATTGCTTCATAGTGCGATGCTTAACCCCTTGCGCCACCAAGGAGACCCCCATAAATCCATTTTAAAGAACAGAGTCTGTACTTAGAAATGAAGCAGCAACAAAAAAATATGCATATACACAAACTACTTGTAATTGAATCAATAAGAAGTCATGCGACCAGCCCTGACTTTGACTACTTTATTGAGGATTCCTCTGATGCAGGCCTTTGCTAGAAGCTTACAATTTTTTAGAGCCCTCATAATCTGAGTTCCATTTCTTCCTTCCCATACTTGTTCTGAGCTATTTACTTTGGGGAGCAGACAAGCTCAGGGAGTCTTTTAGGCCCAGTACATGCTCCGCGGCTTTTCTTCCTTTCCCACCCCCTTTACTGCTAATGTCCTCACCCTCCCACCCCCCAACAGAGTAGAAGCCTAAACGCCTTCCTTGGTCCTGTGGTCCCCTGGGTCCCGCGTAGGCTTGTAATTAATTCCCGCCAGCGCGGAGCTTCCCCCGAACCCCCACCTGGGGGGACAGTGCCCCGGGGACCGTTGAAAACACCAACGGCCCCTTTTGTCCAGTAAGCGAGCGCAGGGGCGGTTGGAGTTGGGGCGCGAGCCGGGCGCGCTGGCGCGGGAGAGGCGGGGCGCGAACCCGGGCGCGCTGGCCGGGAGAGGTGCGGCCGCGGGGTGGCGCGGGGGGCGCGCGGGAACCCGAGGCTGGGGGCTCTGGACAAACCTCGAGCCCCGCGGGAGCAGCCGCGCCCCAGGGGGCGAGCGAACCGACGGTTGGAGTTGGGTCTAGGGAGCTAGCTCGGCGGTTCGTGGTTTTGGAAAAGCAACGGAATAGAGAGACATAGAAAAAGCAACTTGCAAAGCGATAAGTATAAGATCCCATTTCTGTGGGGAGATTCTCAACAAGCTATCCTTAAGTGCACACGTATGTATGGAGGTAAATGCACTGGCAAAGGTCCGAGGAGACTTCGTGTTGGGAGAGAGAATGAAGGGAACCACCTTTGTACAGAGTATATTTCTGAGTTATGTAACAATATCATAGAAAAATGCAATTGAAAAAACCTGCTCTTGGGGAGCTTGGCTATCCACCTCCTTCCCTTCACTAGGGACCTGCTTGCACTTTTCTCACTGTTCCTCTTACAAGAGACACTGCAAGATACGAGAGTCATGAAAAGTTATTTCACATTAGCCGTTTTGCCTTTCCTCTCGCCCTCTTTTTATTTTTATTTTTTTTAAAGATTTGTTTATGCATGCAAGAGCTGGGGCACAGGCCAGAGGTGCAGGGAATGGTGTGTGTGTGTGTGTGTGTGTGTGTGTGTGTGAGGGGGTGAGAGGATTCACCAGAGACAGGGTGGGGAACAGAACAGGCAGCTTGACTGAAATACACTGCTGAGGGGAGCAGCAGGTGAGACAGGAGAGGTCTGCTGTGCCATGTGGGTAGCTCCCTGGCTGGCGGGGATCGAACTCATGCTGCAGAGGCTGTGGACAGCTTCCTAGGTTGTGTCTTAACCCTGGCCTTGCCCTCTTGTTGGAGATCTTTCCTACCCGCCTCTGCAGAGAAGTCTTCCTCACAGCCCTTCTCAAATCTATCTGCAAAACTCACTCTCAAACACTGAAGATGAGTAAATTTTGCATAAATGCTGGAAAATTGGAATTAGACATTATTTCTAAAACATATTTGATAAAAATTAAGATAAAATATTTACAGGGTGTTTATTTTCTCCTAGAAAGAGGCTCCATAGTGTTTCTATCAATATAGATCCATGACGTTAAATATTTTTCATTGTTAAATTTTGATTTTGAAATGATTTGTACAAAATTATGAGAATGGTACAAAGAATTTCATCTCTTTCACCCACCTTCCCCAAACTTTAATGATGCCTGAAGCTAAATGTTCAGCTGATCTAGCATGACCATAACATAATCAATGATCCTAACCAGGAAATTAACATCACTACTAGTCTCTTAACTAATCTGCAGATATTATTAAAATTTCCACATTTAGCTAACACTTTTTTTTTTTTTGATCCAGGATTCAATCCAGGATCTCACATTTGTCACAACTGCTCAGTTTCTTTTGATCAGTGACAGTTTCTGTTCTTTTTCTTCGTGACTGACAATTTTGAAGAGTACTGTGGGCCAACTTTTGTTAAATGTCCTTTTCTCATTATTATATTCAGGTTATGTTTTTTTTTTAACAAATTTGCCACAAAAAGTGATGTGCCCTTCTCAATGCCTCATGTCAGGAGGCACATGATGTCAATGTGTCATTAATGATAACATTAGCTGACTACTAATCAGGTTAGGGTGGTTTGTCCAAAGAAAAGTTGTGATTTTTCTTTTATTTTCGGTTAAGGGAGGCAAATAGCCTCATGGCACACTCATCTTGTCATTCTTTGCATCGTGGTTGCAACAGTTAGTACTGTGGTGTTTGCCAAAATGTGATTTTTCTGTTTCCGTCATCTGAGGATGAGTTCTCAGGCCTGAATATTGAAGTGTACATTCTCTTTTTAAAGGAAGATATTTTTCTACTTCACAGTAGAGGGAAAAGGCATTTAGAGTTTGTGTGACAGACTATGGAATTAGTGGCTTTTATGAATTATGAGAGTGTTATTTACAGATAGATGCATTCCAAAAATAATAAACCACTGTCCTTAGTATATCTAAGAACTTGAATCTTAAAATCCCAATTTACATGAGTTTATGAGCTCATTAACTGAATTGGATTTTATTACTCTGATATTTGTATCTGTTATTACCATAAGTGTAAAATGGTATTTAAAAATAGAGCAAAGATAAAGTTTTTAATGTTATTTCCAATGCATTGCTAATTTCAGTTGGTATTTGCAAGGCTGGTCATTTAACAATACAGCTGACTCTCATCCAATGATATTTCACTTGATTTAGTCTCAGTGTTTGCTGAACGGATTTACTGGAAGTTGGAATGGCTACTGCATTGAATGCATTACAAGGAAAGCAGAATTTTTGTGGGTGAAGCTTAGAGATCTTTTAATCCAAGGGTTATTTGACTATCAAGCATTTTGATAAGTCTCTTCTGACGATTAAGTTGCATTGTGCAGCATTTCCCCTAACTCCTATCACTGTAGATGGAAAACTGGCCTAAGGTTAGTCTTAGTCTTGATGTTAATTTTTCTTGCTTTCAATATTAAGAAGGAGAGTAGGTTTAGCGCTTCAAAAAAAAATTAAATCACTGCCCCTTTTTGAGTACCTGATCCCTATGAAACTTTTCCCTAGGAAAATTGGCAACCCCACGGATTGCGGGCGTTAGAGCGAAAGCAATCCAATGTCAAATGGGGGTGTGAGGGGGGAGGTGATGGGGGAGGAAAAGTCTGCTGCCAGCTCTCAGGGGCTTCCCAGGCAGTTTCCCCTCCTGCCATATGGCACCGGTCACCTCTCGGCAGTCCAGGTGGGCAGCTGAGGCGGCACAGCCCAGATGGCTCCGCCATTTCACCCAGCCTCCCCCGATATCATCCTCTCCTCCTTTATTACTTGGCCCGGGGTCTGTCCCGTTTTCTTGCTGATTCTAATCAGCCCTCCTGGCACTGGCTCTTCCACCTTCTCACCAGCGTCCTGGTGGGGCAGAGCGCGCGGAGCTCGCGTGGGGACCTGACCCCTCCCGAGCGGCGAGAGCCGAGGGGACTTTCGGAATAACTGTGTCCACGCGCCCCTTTCTGTCAGCACAGCCTCGCCGCGCCCGCTGCCTGTTGAAGACGGAGCAAGAAGCGCCGAGCCCGCTGGGGACACGTCGACATCCGCAGCTAACACAGGCCCGAGGGCCGCTGCCCCCTCCGACCCCTCGCGGGCAGAGAGGGGTTGGGGACAAGGCGGTTAGCCACGGAGCAAAGAGGGTCAGGACGCGTTGTTACGAAGCACTTGTCTGAGCACCAGGAAAAACGTTAACTCCCGAAACCCGCTTCTGCGTCCGCCAACCCGGCCTTGCCGCGCGGGGCGCGCGGGGGCGCGGGGCCGAGCTCAGCCCGCCCCGGCTCGCGGCAAAGCTTGGCGCCCCCGGGCCCGCCGCGGCTGGTGAGGCCCGCGGGCGTCGGGGCGCCGCGGGAGCCGGGGAGCAGGGGCGGGGCGCGGCGCGGCGGGGGGACCCCTCCCGGCCCCGGGCGTCACCGAGGCCCCGCCAATGAGGAGCCCGGCGGGGGATTCCCGCTCCCGCTGCCGCCCCCCGGCTTTTAAAACAGGACCCCGGGGACCGCTTCCAGGAGCGGTGGGAGAAGCGGGGGAAGTGTGGGTTGGGGTGGAAAGGTAATGGTCCTGGGGCGTCCAGTTGCCTGGGCCATACTCCCGGCGGGGCCGGGCTGGGGGATGGAGTGGAAGCTGCAGCGCGCGGCCCCGCGCAGGGTGCGCACCGAGGAGCAGCTCCTGTGGGTGAGTCACACCCTCGCCCCGACTCCCCGGGGCAGCTCGTCGAAGGCGCCGATTTAACACCTGTTTAGGACCAAGACGTAGTGTGAAACTCTAAACCCTGGTCCAAATGTTGAGTTCTGCCGTTAGTTATACTCTGGAGATGTTTGATTGCTTAAAAAAAAAAAAAAAAAAAAAAGCGACAGCTTTGACAAGCTGAGGACCTAGAAACTTTCCACACCTAACATGATTTTGCTAAGTCGTTTATCTCTCTGTGTTATCTGTATTTTCAAAGGAGAATGTCATGCGGGCTCTCGCCAAAGATATGAAGAAGAAAAGTCAAGTTTCTCCTAAGGTGAGTGTCTACTGCTTGCTCTCGTTCTCTGTCTGATCTTAATTCTGATCTTGAACAAATCAATTCTTGCTAAAGAAGCTATCTATGGGAAGTATGGGCCGGTTTGAAAGTATGAAAATAAAAAAAGTCGCTTACCACTGACTGCAGAGTAAATGATAATGCTAAAAAATATTCTGCAAGGAACTGAAGATCCTTGACAAGGATTGGTAATCATTTGTTTCTGAATGGTGCTTTCTAGTTTTTACCTCAACAGGAAAGGAAGATGCGTGCATGTGTCAGGTAGATCGAGCATTGCTAGCTGACTTATAAGATTTCATTTGGACAGTTGCACGCCCGCTGGTGCATGCACAATGCCAAAAAGGGGAGATGGCGCCATCTTGTGGACAATGAGAGCTGGCACAGTCCATGGCCATTGGTACTTTTTCTTCTTGAAAGTCTGAGTCCAAAGGCTACAAATTTTTCTTGTGGTCAGTGTAAAAATAAAGCAAACAAATATTTTCTCACTTTTTCCACTTCCACAGCCCTCATCAACTTTAATTTCTCTTTGTCACCATTCACCTTGCTTCTCTCTATGCTTACATGGTTTAGAATCCTTTAACCTCACAGACTCTATAGTTTCAAATCCATCACCATTTTTAAAGATTTTTCTATATCTTTAAGAATTTCTGTATTTAAGTGGTGGTGGAATAAATTGAATACAGAATGAGATGGTTGGTGTCTTTTATAGTGGGCAAAACCAAATGACATTTAAGTCCCCCAATTTCCTAAAAATTTTAAGTTTTTCCCTCCCTTAGCTGCAGCTCTGTCTTATGCCCAGCTTATGTATCACTATCAATCCTAGCTATTTTAATGCCTTCTACTGACACCTGGTTCTTTGATCAGCAAACAGTAATTGGAGTAGAAGTAATAAGAAAAAAACTATGTACAACTTTGTTACTTCATTGGTACTATAATAACATTTTCATATTCAATCCTCTATTTTGGAAAACTCAAGTGTAAGTATTCTGAAAGTTCTTTATAATTTTTGACTAGGTTAAACAAAATACTGGTTTTATTTTTTTATAATATTTAGTCTCAGAGACTTCCTGGGCCTGGAAAAGCAGCAGTACCTGAGTCAGGTAGGCAGTGTATTGTTAGCTGGCTGCTTTGGGTTAATTCGGCAGCCACGACTACCCTGCCACTTGCTTCTGGATAAATTCTTCTTGTTAGTGACGTGCATTGACGACTTGTGTGTGATGAGTTGGCAGTGTATTGTTAGCTGGTCGACTGTGAGTGGCATCAGCTAACATGCAACTGCTGTCTTATTGCATATACAATGAACATCAGTGTGCATTTAAATCCGTAAGTAATCTATGTGTGTGTATGTGTACTTTTTGTTATGAAGTAGGGCCCCCATTTATCACAATACTTATTATTGCAACTCAGTTACTCAATTATAATGCAATAGACAGCTTTATAAAGTGGTTAAAAAAACTATTAGATTTAAAAAAATTTCTATTTTGAATATTTTGGAGTCTTTAATACTTGGAGGCAGCATTAAAGTTTTGTAGAACTGTATATATATTTTATATAAAACTTAGAATATAATGACACTTTGGGGTGGAATGGAAAGCTTAAAATGTTCCCCAAATTTTCAACCAAATCTTTACTATCCTTTCTGGATGACCAGTTTAATACAACATTAGAGTAGGACTCTCTAACCTTATGTGTATATCAGCCAAAGGGACAAGTAAAGTAACTTTCCAGATGAGTCAGCCAAGTAAAAAATTTTTACTTAAAATGTCAAAATATTAAGATTTTTGGGGAGTGGGGGTTGAATTGTTTGGAAGATTTGTTTTAATTCCTCATTTCATTTTCTATAAAATCACAGTCATACAATGTATTTTTAAGTTAATTGTTTTATTGAGGTAACATTGGTTTGTAACACTGTAAGTGGGCTAGGGGAATAGATATATGTCACACCCCACACCCACCACCAAAGCACCCATAGACACTTATATTTGGTAGAAAACATGAGATTTAGCTTGTGAGTTGGAAAGTATATGATTTAATCAATATGACTTTATTTTCTTATTCTCTCAGAGGCCATTTTGACCCATGGAGCAGTGTCAAATGTAGTGGGGCCCAACATGCAGGGCACAGATATGGGCATTTGTAACAAGCCTCTGTTGGTCTGGTCACTTAGTTACACTCTAAATGAGATAGGAGGAATGTATTACACTATTGAATTATAAGTTATTGTGAAATGATTTCTATTCTGAGTTTATTTAAATTTAAACATTTTTAGAATAGTGGGTTAAATAGATGCCTTCTTAATTTAAATTTAATTCTCAGGCATTTTGCTACTTTTCAAATCTCATCCGCTTTTTGTTATTCCCCAATACCATTCCATTTCAGCATATTTGTGTTTATGATTTTAAGTATCTCTTCCAGGTAAATACTGTTTTCATTTTTTTTTTAAGATTTATTTTATTTATACAAGAACCTGGGTACAGGCCAGATGTGCGGGAGGGTAAGAGGATTCACCAGGGACAGAGCAGGGAACAGGACAGGCAGACTGACGAAATACACTGCTGAGGGGAGCAGCAGGTGAGACAGGAGAGGTCTGCCTTGCCATTGGGTTGTTCCGATGCCAACGGGGATCTAATCAGCGCTGCAGAGGCTGCGGACAGCTTCACAGCGCTGTGCTCAACCGCCTGCGCCACCAGGGAGGCCCCTCATTTTGTTTTTTAAGGTTAAATTTCAACATGTTATCTTCTCTAGAAAGACACTTGTTGATACCAATAAAACCTACTAAATTTAGAAGACTTGGCTTTTGTGTTTTAATTATTTTAAACTAAAATAACATAAAAGGCCAACATTTACACTCAATACGGGATACCTCTTCAAAGCCATTCTTCTGGTCCATATTGAGAGAGAGAATGGCATGAGGTAAGGGCAAAATAAGGAGATTAATGGGTAAGGTGAAAATCAATATATAAATTCAAAAAGAAAATGTTTCTATAAGAATGAGATGGGAAAGTTTACTTTTTCAACATTTATTTTGTGTTTTATCACAGCAAAATACCCATTTGCAGTTAGCTGCTCCACAAATTTCAATTACACACAATGATCATGAACCCAACAGTTGTCAAGTGTGTTGGTATTTCCAGAAACACAATCTTAAAAAATGGCAAGTCAAACAAGAGGCTACTGAAACCCTTTGGGGACCCAGTATTCAGATTCAGTATGGTCAGATGAGGTTTTTAATATATTTCATTTTGATTCTGTGACTAGCCCCATCTATATCCTGGGGACATTCATTACACTTACTAGGAAGATAACAAGAAAAAAATCATCCTTTGTCAGAGTGCTTAATGGGACTACACCCTCATGGAGACATTTCTGTATTCTGAAAAATAGAGGATTATAAAAATAGAGCCACATTAGAATGACTCAAGAACATTCTCATAGATCCTCTTTCTTTTTTATGATCATTTGTCTAACCAGAGCTGCTATCTCAGGCCTGATGACTTCAATGGACTCTTCTGGCCTCCAGTACTTCACAACTTGACCCTCAGGGTTGACCAAATACTTCCAAAAATTCCATCTTGGCTCCTTCTTTGAAGAATCTGAAATATAAGAATATATTTTCATGAGCATAGTGTAATTTTTTGTCAAGATTTTTAATTTAATAGTATCTGCATAAGTGACAACTTAAGAACCAAGTTGTACAATGGTTAAAATGTCAAAAACAAAAACCAAAGAGCAAAACAGCAAAATAAATCAAAACTCAAGATTTAAGAAACCAGATTTCTATATCCTTGGTGACTTCATTGATGATTCTACTGATCTGGAGTCATGAAATCTAACTGGTGTATTTGAGATTTTTTGATCTAAAGAGAAAATTTACCTTGTCACTAATGAAAAACTTTGGGTTTATTAGCCTTTTTAGAAATAAAATGATGATCTAAAGATCCTTGATAATAAGAACATGATTGCTTTTCATATAAATGTATCTATATTTTTAATATTGTTACATTATCACATAGCTGAAAATAGTAAGGAATTCTAACCTTAATTGAGAAATTATGGTATTATTTTGATACATGGGAAATGCAGATCCCCTGGCCCATTTATAGCACCAAGATTTATGTGCATATTATTGACTAACCGAAAAATAAAAGATTTGTCGAGTACCTATAATGTATGCTCAGTGCTTCAAATGGAATCTCTCATTTAATCTTTACAGCAACCAAAATGAGGTGGGTATTATTATTGTCCCTATTTTGGAGATGAGAAAAATGGCAGCCTAGACATAAGATGACCTGCTTGTGAGCGGTAGAATTGGGATGGATATCCTGTCCTTCCTATACCAGAGCTCAGGGGAGACAACAAAGCAAGATTTTAGGAGGAGGATGACATTCATTTTTGTGCATGGGGGGAATTCAGGTGTGTGGGGGCATCCAGTCAGAGGAAGCAGCTGGATATATGTGTTGGATCTTAGTTCACTCGGGGAATCGCGGTAGAATAAGAAGAACCCAAGTGGATGGCAGCAGAGTCCTGACTATCAGCGGGGTTAAGGTAGTTGAAAAAGAGGATCCTGCATAGGAGAAAGAGAAGGGCCAGAGCAGAAGTCACTGGTAGTGTTTCCTGCCAGGTTTAGGAGACACACAGAGCAAGAAGCTGGATAGAGTGATGGGAGATTGACATGAGAATCCGAGAGAGCCAGAGTGAACTATTTCAAAATCAGGGATGAAGTAGACTGAAGGAGCACACTGCCTAGAGTTTTTAAATGTGGGGAATACTTTGCTTTATGTGAGGAAAAGTCCAGTGAGGGAGTACAAAGATAACAAAAAGTAGCTTAACATTAACTTGCATGTGCTTTATGCCATTTTCTAGAGTGACCATGACTGTCAGAGCAGGGCTCTCTGGCTGAAGTAATATCTTTGTGTGGATTAGAAAAAGAGAAAAGCTGCCGGGTGGGCACAGTCCCTCAGCACATGCCTTGCCACTGGCCTGGGTTTCAGCCGCCACTCACCATTTCACCCAACTGCTTGCTTTAGTCAACAACCTGTATACACCTAGACACAGCGCTTCTGTTTGTGATCACATAGTCAACTACTGTTCACTTTGGCCAGTATTAAAAAGGTCTAGTTTTTACGTAGTCTGTGTATCTGGAGCTTCGTTTAATTCAGTGAAATCTTAAACCCCTGTTATTTTTTTGATTGTGCACAAAGTAAGTGGAGTTTCAGGAGTCTTGGTAGTGACAGAGGGGAAGAACTTAAACATTACTATGGCAAGCATTGGCTGCAAAAATAGAGGACTGATTAGTTGAAGGGTATGTGTGCTAGCTTTTCTTTCCCTAGGGTAGCCTAGAAATAAAAGAATAAATACTACTCTCTAGTTGCTATTTATGGTGTTGAACAGTTTAATACTTTTATTTTTTAAAAAATGTATTTATTCAAGAACTGTGGTACAGGTCAGAGGCAGGAGAGGTCTGCCACACCATGTGGGTTTCTCCCTGGCCGGCTGGGAATCGAACCCGTGCTGCAGAGACCGTGGACAGCTTCACAGAGCTGTGACACCGGCCCCCATTTTAATACTTTTAGAAGATTCTATCTTCACTTTTAACTATCATAGAACATCATTAGCTGGTTTGTTGGGTTGGAAGTTTGATGTCTGATGGATGTCACAGTTATATCAAACTTCAATATGTTGAAGCTGGGACTGAGGATATTATCTGTGTAAGTGAGAGGAGAAGACATTAACTGAACATCCTTTAGGATAGTGCCTGTCACAGCGTTAGAGCATAAGTACTTTGTTATTAACATGTTTAATTCTCCAAATAATCATAGGAGGTAGATGCTGCTGATAGTCATATTTTTCAAATGAAGAAAACGGCTCAGAGAAATTGTCATACACCCGAATCCACACAGAAAAAGCAACAAAGGAGAGGTCTGAATGCAGGGAGACAGGGCCCAGCCTGCGCTCTTAGGCACTATGCTCACTACTTTTCTCCTAAGTGATGTTGGAAAATATTTAGATTTCTGTAACAAGCCTAAAAGTAAAAATAGTCTAATGCTGCGTTCCTCCCAAAAAAAAAAAACCCAAGTTATGTTTGAATTTTAGCATAAAAGTCTGGTCAATTAAGATATTATTCATCCTTGAAGATAATATCTCCTATAAGTAAGGTCACATAAAACTAATCGCAAAGATTTGCTTAATAATGCTCAGCAATATTCATGAACAATATATAGTTTTAATAACAAAGAGGGGCATTTCTCCAAGTGCTAGTTAAATTCTGAGGAAAGTGATCATAAAAAAAATTCACCGGAGTAGATTTATTTTGTCATCCAAGGAATTAAGACACTGGTTTCAGGAAAGCATACATTTTAGAAAGTTACAAAGGATGATGTTCTGGCTTTAAGACAGTTTTATAAAAACTTCCCACTAAAACATTTTGTTTTTCCACTAAAACGTTTGAAATCACATAAACCATGGTTCTGGCATATTTGTTTTAAAAAACCAAAACAACCAAAAACATTAAATTGGTGAGGCAAGGGAGATATTTACCAACAAGAAATCTAAAGGCAGGTTCTGCTTCAGATCCTAGAATCTTAATCTTGTGGAAGATGGGGAATGTTACTCCGTAGTTATTTCTTGCAAAAGATTCTATTTCCTTGCTTGGGCGGGGCTCCGAGTCTCCAAACTGGTTGCACGGAAAAGCCAGGACGCTGAAGTGGAATGGTCCAAACTCTTTGTGCAGCTCCTGCAGTGCTAAGTAATTTCTGTCTGTGAGTTGGCAGTCACTAGCCACGTTTACAACTAGTGAAACCTCCCGGAAAAAGAAAAAAACCCAACCGGAAAGTGAAGTAAATAAAAGAGTAAAAGAAATCCTGCAAGTAGTTAAATTGCTAAACCACTTCGGGGAAATACAAACCTTGATATAGTTGGTTATTTCATAGTTTCAGACATACCCAAGTTTACTGAAAATCATAACCCTTGAGTTAAGACAAAGCATCAAATACTCACAAAAGTTTATTTTTAAGTAAAAGATCATAATATGATCACCGAGAGTGCTTTTTAATATTAGATTAAACATTAAATGCTAGTACTTTTATTAATAAGTGTCCCCCTATTCACATTACTAACTATAGGAAATTTCTAAACAAAGTATGAGTTCAGTAGATTGATTAAACATTTTAAAGAAAATTATCAGTTTATCAGATATATACTGAGTATAAGACCTCTTATGGCTAAGTGGTACACGACTATTAACTTGAAAAACTAAATTATAACATGATCATTAAACAGTAAAATCTTGATTCTATTAAAAGAATAAACAGAGAACATGGACAAACAATAGACATAAAAATCAGAAGATGCAACTTACTCTGCCTTTGAACTTTTCCAGAGAAACCGTTCTTCCTTTTGTATCTTTCACTTCAAAGGTATAAAAGCTTTTGATTTTAGGTTTTAGGAATTTTAATTGTAAAAGAAATAACATTACTGTGCAGAGAACCATAGACAGCAAAACTGCAAATACCTTTGCTTTGGGCCCTGAACATCTTAAAGGGTGAGTTGTAAGAGGCTCCATTTTGGATGATTCTGGGGGAAGTCTCAGCAGGCTGGAATTTGAGGAGGAGCTGAAACTTGAAACTAGCTCAGTTTAACGGAAAACCAGGAAGGACATACAAGCTCTTTTCACTGCTAAGGAATAGAAAACTCCTTCTTAGGTGAGGAATAGAGTAAAAGTCCTGAATGAAGTAAGCAGCTCTAAAAAATTCCAGAGTATTTATGATGTCAATTGAGATTTTTGCTGCAAAATTCAAGGCATTTCTGGTAACTCTTTAACACCCTCCAAACAAAGAAAATATTTCACCAGAAGATGGTGCCCTTGTAATTTGAAAGCCGTGAAGTGAGTTCAGCAATTGGTTGACAGTAGAGGAGTATGTAAGTAATAACCAGGAATAGCTCAGAGTACAGATCAAGTATGATGTATGGGTATGATATAGGACCTGATGGAATTAATGTTATGTGTATGAATTAAACAGGCTATATGACTTTAAGGAATTTATAGTGAAAAGAGCAATGAAATATTTGAAAAGGCTATTTACTCTGACTTCATCTACTAAGGTAAAGCCAGATGGAGACAGTAAAAATAAATAAAAACAACAAATGCTTTAAAAATCTTCTTTTATCCAGTATTTTTCAAATTTTTGATCATGACCCACACTTCACAATGCAACTCAATACATGCAGACTCAGAAACATATAACCAAGAAGTTTCATTTAACTGTATTCCCTTTTGAACTGCGATGCACCCCAATTTTAAATCAGTTTTTAAAAAATATTTATTTATTTATGCATATGATAGCTGGGGTACAGGCCAGAGATGTTGGGTGGGGGGGTGAGAGGATTCCACAAGAGACAGAGTGGGGAACAGAACAGGCAGATTGACCAAAGTACACTGCTAAGGGGAGCAGCGGGCGAGGCAGGAGAGGTCTGCTGCACCATGTGGGTTGCTCCCTGGCTGTCCGGGAATTGAACTCGTGCTTCAGTGGCTGCTGACAGCTTCATAGGTTGTGTCTTAACCCTTGCGCCACCAGGGAGGCCCTAAATCAGTTTTGTTTTGACCCATGAAATTAAAGATTTACTGATCGGCGGCAACCTGTTGAGGAAAAATTACTGAACTCTATAATAAAGCAGTAATTTAACCAGAAAATTCAACCAAAAGAGCAGAAACAAACTAAAATTTCTCAAAGCCACACTGCTTGAGTGTATCATGTAGTTGCTTCACTTTTTATCTTTATGTTTCCTCTGGAGGCTTACTTCACCACTGAAAATTTTAGGGAATTTCAAATTGGAGAAGAAATTAAGGGCTGTAGATCCCTAAATCCAGCCTTCTTTTAGTCGCCGTAGAATTTTCCCTGTTTCAGACACAGCAAGTTTTGAATCAAGGTGTTTTGTTCTGCTTGCACCTGACTGATGATGTTGTGGTGTGTTTCCAGAAGTGCTTGGAATGATCTGAGGAGCTTGTGGGAGTGCCCTGCCTAGTAATATTAGATTTTTGGAGCTTTAGAAGATGTGCTAAGGACTCTGGCCATGATTTCTGGTGACTGCTTCTGTTGTGTGTATTTGGAGGCAGTTGAGCAAAACCTAAAACTTAGGCACATAAAACCTGTCAAGAGATGGATAAAGCAGTTTATTCCTGTTCCTGAGGTCTGATAAGAATGGATACAATAGGAAAAAAAAGATTATGTAGAAACTATTCTCTTCCAAACCTTATTTCTAGTAAAGAACAAAAAAGTTCATGTCATGGGTTGTATTGTTTCTTTTTTCACTTAAAAAAATTTAGATATAATTGACATATATTTGTTTCAGGTGTACAATATAATTAAGATTTAAATATATTGGGAAATGATCATTACAAAAATAGTTACCATCCATCACCATAGTTACAGCTTTTTTTTCTTATGATGAAACTTTTAAGATCTATTTTTTTTTTTTAAGATTTTTTTTTTTTTTAGAGGCATGTTTTTATTTATTTATTTGTTTGTTTGTTTTGTTTTGTTTATACATGCACTGGGTACAGTCAGAAGCGCGGGAGGGTGAGAGAATTCACCAGAGCCAGAGCGGGGAGCAGAGCAGGCAGAAGGACCGAAGTACACTGCTGAGGGGAGCAGCGGGTGGCAGGAGAGGTCTGCGTGCCATGTGGGACCCTCCTCTGGTGGCCGGGGAGCAGCCGGGGATCGAACCAGCGCTGCAGAGGCCGCGGGCAGCATCGCAACCCAGCGCTCAACCGCTGCGCCACTGGGGAGGCCCAAGATTTTTTTATTTATGCATATGAGAGCTGGGATACAGGCCAGAGATGCCCGGGGCGGGGTGAGGGTGGGGGCGGGTGAGGTGAGAGGATTACCAGACAGAGTGGGGAACAGAACAGGCAGACTGACTGAGATACACTGCTGAGGGGAGCAGTGGGTGAGACATATGGGTTGCTCTCTGGGGATCGAACTCCTGCTGCAGAGGCTGAGGATTGCTTCATAATGTGGTGCTTAACCCCTTGCGCCACCAGGGAAGCCCTTAAGATCTATTCTTGTAGCAATTTTCAAATATCCATTATAGTATTATTAACTATAGTCCCCATGTGTACATACATCCCATTTTAAACTCATACTCCATTTTATTTTTTTAAAAAGATTTATTTATTTATGCATACAAGACCTGGGGCACAGGCTAGAGATGCGGGGGTTGAGAGGATTCACCAGAGACAGAGTGGGAAACAGAACAGGCAGATTGACCGAAGTACTCTGCTGAAGGGAGCAGCGGGCAAGTCAGGAGAGGTCTGCTGTGCCATGTGGGTTGCTCCCTGTCTGGCTGGGGTCAAACTTGTGTTTCAGAGGCTGCGGATTGCTTCACGGTGTGGTGCTTAACCCCTTGCGCCACCAGGGAGGCCCTCATCCTCCATTTGTTCTCTGTTACTGTGAGCTCCATTTTTATTACATTCTTCATATAAATGAATTTAGAGAACACTGAAGTTGTCTTGTTTTCATTTTCAAATTTTAAGTATTTTTGTGTATGCCAAAAGTACATTAATTATGTAAAGAGGGGATGTGAAGAATACAGAGGATGTAAGAGGAGTAAAATAAAATTTCCTTCAAGGGATTGGGGTCAAAATAAGGGGTTTGTAATTGTATGGGGAATATAAAAATAAAATTTAAATAAAAAAATAAAATTTCCCTTTTCCTATCTCTCACAACACTATTTAAACTTAGGTATAAATCTCCCCATTTTTTTTTTTCCCTGTTGTTTTCATTTACAAAATTTGCCTTTCTCTGACTCACTTATTTAGTATATTGCCCTTAAGTTTCATCCATGTTGTTGAAAATGGCAAGATTTATTCCATTCTATGGCAGAATAATATTTCATTATTTTTAACTAGTTAAGTGATATATATATATAATTTATATTTATTCATTTATTGGAAGCAGTCACAGGAAGTCTGCAGAATAACAATCCAAATCCAAGCCAGGAGATGGTAGTTTCTTAATGAAGGAGCTTTGGTCATCTCCATAGAAGGGGTGGGATAGATGCTAAAGATGCTCTCCAGTGGCAGGCATTGGCAATGGAGAATAAATAAGGTCTCCTGAAACATCTACCTGAAAATGATCTTAGTGGATTTTACTTGACTATATTGCCCACTAGGATGATGATGAGGTGCTGGAGGGTCAAAAAGGGTAAAGATGACAATTTTGATCTTCCTGGTTAATTCGAAATAATATTGAGATCCTAAATTTGAACTATCTGGTGGACCAAAGGCTGCTGCATTGAGCTGGTGGGTATCGGCAGACTTTAGAGACTAAAGAAGGGGACTGGAGAGGATGTGCTTGGCATTATGGGCCACTTTGTTGCTTTTGTCTCTAACATAAGGGTCTGTTCTAGAAATACCCTGGGGTCATCAGCTTGTCTTTTCTGGAATGTCGAGGTTTTTCCCACCCATGGAATGAATATTTGTGTGTCAGATTATTTATCACTAGATATATGTTTGTTTCTCTTGTCCCAGTTGTTTCATTTTGTTACTTCCTGATCTATTTTTAAATCCTCTAGGTTCCTTTCTATTTATTTTTTGGCCCTGGTACTCTGAATTCCTCCCGGTTTAGTGTGAATATGATGTGAACTTTAAAGGTAAACAAGCCAAACTGATGTGCTTAGAGGATCGAGTCATTCATCCTTTTCCCCTTCTTTGTCTTATTTTTCCTATCTTCCTCTTCCTTTCTATTAATAAATACTTGAGTCATTTAAAAGTATGCGACAGGCATTTCCTCAGCAGGAGATAGGTCTTGGAACAAAAGTTCAAAAACATCGAAGATGAAATAGCGCGATCTATGGCAGTATTTCCTAAGCTGTAGTCACTTGGTATGCAAACACCTCCTCTGTTTTGCCACATCTGCACACCATTTGTTAGTTCCTTAACATTTTTATGTGCAAATGGACTCATTTATTGTACTCAAAATAGTTTTTATAAGAGAAAACATTATGACAACACTGACAATTTAGAGAACATTTAAAAATATGCATTAAAATGCATAACTATTGCAAAAAGGCTCATCTGTATCCTTGCAAACCACAAGCCCTTAGTGGAGGGGCTGACTGAGAACTGTACTTGGTGTTCAAAATGTTGAACTCTTTGTGCTCTAACTCTAAAGTTTTTTGTGTAGAATAGAAATTTGTCTCCTAGGTTTTTTTATTTTTTTTTGTCACAAGCAAGGGGAATCATTTGCTTATCTAAATTTGGGGGGTGGTTTTTCTTACCTGTCATGTTTTTTCCGTTGCTCACTAACCAGTATGGGTCTGGAAGTGTTGTCAGTACTCTGAGGTTTCAGTTACTTGGCGGTAGAGACTTGAACATATTTTATTTTATTTTTATTTTTTAAAGATTTATTTATTTATTTATACAAGCACTGGGTACAGTCAGAAGCGCGGGAGGGTGAGAGAATTCACCAGAGCCAGAGCAGGGAGCAGAGCAGGCAGAAGGACCAAGGTACACTGCTGAGGGGAGCAGCGGGCGGCAGGAGAGGTCTGCGCGCCATGCGGGACCTTCCTCTGGTGGCCGGGGAGCAGCCGGGGATCGAACCGGCTGCAGAGGCTGCAGGCAGCTTCGCAACCCAGCGCTCAACCGTTGCGCCACCGGGGAGGCCCGACTTGAACATATTTTAAATGCACAGATACATCAGTATTGTGAACTTACATCACTGTTCTGTTTCCTCAGAAACGTTGATTATAACCTGTCGAATTTGACAATCATTCTTCTTAATGGAGGAGAAAGAAAGAAAATAGCTTATTTCCTTGTGTCTCTCTTAAATCCTTTCTACCTTTTTTTAAAAATTATTTTCAGGTCAGAACCCTAGTTTATTTCAGCATCAGCAACACCTTAGCTACTGCAAACAAACAAACAAACAAACAAACAAACAAACAAACAAACAACCTCTAACAAGGGCGACTGGAGGCTCCACAGTGAGGCTAAGGTCCAGCTGGCAAGTGGGAGCCTCAGCAGTGTGTGGCCAGCACTGCCTGGGGATATAAATTTGTGCCTTTTTAGAACTAATTGCCTCCAGGGGAAGAGGGTCATTCATTACAAAGCTGCTGAATGCCAATAAATGTCTTATTCTCTGGGGACAGTCAGATAAAAGACAAAGTCCCTGCTCTTAAGCCATTTATAAAATAGTAGAACATAGCAGGAGAGAAGTAATGACAATTAGAAATGTGGAATGTGAACTTAGTCCATTTGGGCTGCTGTAGCAATATAACACAGACTGGGTAATTTATAAACTGTAGACTTTTATTGTCCTCGGTTCTGGAGCTAAAATCTGAGATCAGGGCCAGAATGGTCACCTGACGGTCCTCTTTTGGGGTTCAACTTCTCATTGTATCCTCACAGACTGAAGGGTTTAGGGAGTTCTGTGCGATCTCTTTTGTAAGAGCACTCATTTCATTCTTGGTGGATCTGCCTTCATGAACTCATCACCTCTCAAAGTACCCCCTGCCCCAGTTCCATCACTTTTGGGGTTAGGATTTCAACATGAATTTTGAGGGAGCACAGTCAGCCCACAGCATGAACAGAGGTGTTTAAAAGCACAGGGACTGGATCAATTTGTGAGTTCAAACAGGCTTAAACACAACAGGGTTGCACTGCGGTTGTGGGCTGCATGCTTCAGGGGTGCCATTCATAAACACTACGATGTGAACAATGGAATGCAGTGGCCTGAATCCTGGATCCACTGCTTATAGTTCTATATCCATCTCAAGCTGTTAACTTTCAGATATCCCTCACGATTTGTCCATTTTTCTGTTGACAGACATTCTGGCTATTGTGATAAGTGCTGCTGTGAACATTCATGTACCTGTGTTGTTCGAATTTGCCCACCTCTTCTCATTTCTCTTGGGCACCTTACAGTACAACTTTGGGGTCATATGGTAACTTCAATTTTAAATTTTTGAGGGACTGCCAAACTGTTTCCTATAGCAGCCATGCCATTTTACATTCCTACCAGCAATGTACAAAGGTTCCCATTTTTCCATATACTTGCCAACACTTGTTATTGATTTGCATTTCCCTAATATATGTCATCATTTCTAATGACTGCCAACTATTCCCTTTTATTGAATATAGTTTATCTAGTTAATTCTCCATTGATAAATACTGACCCTCCACCCCGCCCCCCATAATTTTTGCTCCTACAAACATATCCTGCAGTGTACTCTCATGTTCTCAACTGAGTACATGAACGTGAAGTCAGACAGATGTTAGGATATAGCATCACTAAGTAATCACTGTGTGTTCTTAGGTAATTCACTTAACCTCTAAATCCCACTTTCTTCACTGGTAAAATAGGAATAAATAACAGATTTGCTTCACAAAGTGTTTTCTAGGATTAAATATCAATATGTGTAAGGCCCTTAACACACATACTTGGATGTGGTAAGGCCTCAGTAATACTGGATGGTTCTGTTCATCTCCACACACATCTTTGATTTGCTGGGTCAGTAAAGGTTATGCACACATTTGAAGGCTTTTATGAACATTTCCAAGTTGTCCTTTCCAAAAACCAATTTACACCCACCAGCAGTGTATACCAGTGTTTGTTTTCAGAATCTTCAATATTGGGGATTGTCATTAAAAAAATCATTGCTAACATCTCATTATATTCTTAAATTTATGTATTTTATAATTACCGGTGAGGGTGAATATTTTGGGGGCATTTATATATCTCTTGTGAACTGCTTTTTTATGTCCTGTGTACATTTTTCTACTGGATTGGTAAACTAATCTAAATTTCTATAAGAAATATTAACTGAACATGCCTGTCATTTAGTTAAAAAATATTTCATTTCACCTTCATACATTTGTGGTGAGGAATAACAAAAGTAATCATGCAAAAAAATATTCATTTCCTATTTGTCACTTGCATTTTACTGTCATATGCTGCACAGCATGGCTCACCAGTGTAACATATGAACTTATCAAACTCCTGGGGTTTCTCAGAGGGTGTGGATAGTTTTTGAGCAAGTTATGTCTCAGTTTTCCCATCTGTGAAGTGAAGGGGTTGGATTAACAAATCATTGTTTATTTCCAGATTTGAATTTTTATAATTTTATCTAGACACCTTGCATGTTCAGTATATAGGGTTATTTTAACTTCATATTTTATATTGATACGTAATAGTAATAACCATAACTATAGTTAGTTCCTCATCCATCCATCCATCCATCCATCTATCTCTCATATTGGACTAAAAGAGTGGTTCATAATTCTCTTTAAGGCATTTTTACTTTTGCATTATTAAGGCCACTGTAGTTATAGCTCTTTTCATTGTTAAATAGGCATTTGATTCAGCTATGACTACATATTCTAACTTTAAGAGCAACTTTGTGAAGAGGCTGTCAGCTGAGGTTCCCCTAGCCAGCAGTCCAATTACCACAAGATGGCGGCAAAACCAAACAAAGGATTTGGCAGCCTATTCTGGGGAAGAGTATTCAACAACTGACCTCCCAGAAGCTTCTACCTCTGTGCTGAAGATATCACCTGAGAAAGACACCTTGATTCTAGGTAAGGCTGTAGAAATGCCATTGGCCAGTTTGAAATGTTAAAAAAAAAGGGTATATTCCGGAGATGTTTGTCTGATACGAATATTCATTGTCACATTTGGTCAACTGCTTTTCTCTCAGCAAAGTAGAGTTTTGTTTTGTTTTGTTTTTTTTTAAAGATTTATTTATTTATTTATACAAGCTCTGGGGACTGTCAGAAGCACGGGAGGGTGAGAGAATTCACCAGAGCCAGAGCGGAGAGCAGAACAGGCAGACTGACGAAGTACACTGCTGAGGGGAGCAGTGGGCAGCAGGAGAGGTCTGCGCGCCATGTGGGCCCCTCACCCGGCGGCCGGGGATCGAACCGGCGCTGCAGAGGCTGAGGGCAGCTTCACAACCCAGCGCTCAACTGCTGCGCCACTGGGGAGACCCAAAGTATAGAGTTTTAATGACTAGTTTATGATAGTCAGGAAAGATTAAGATTCCTAGTTTATGATAGTCAGGAAAATGATGATGAAAGAATCAAGTATGAAATAGGAGAAGAAAAATAGGAAAGTAAGAGAGTATGAGAAGAAAATGTGAATGGAAGGAAGGGGAGAGGCTATGAGAGCGAGAGGGGAGGGGAAAAACAATGGAAGGAAAGATGACAGTGAGAGAATTTGATCCCTGCCTGGGTAGGGTTGGAGAATGGGCACCAGTTCTGACCTGGTGGGCAGGGGTCCAGGATCAACCGGTTAGGGCCCTGAAGCACTCGCTCTCTTAACTAAGTATATAATTCTCATGTGGGTACAGCCTTTTTAATTCCCATCCTTCATCTGCAAAGCTTACTACATATCATCTAGTGATTTAGTTTCTGTTCTCCTTAAAAATCCTTTGCATCATAATTTACTGTCTTATCAGCTTGTTGCAGACAAAAGTCAGCAGTGGTGCCGATTCTTTTCTTAATAACATTGATGACATTGGACACAAGGAGGCACCATGATCTTGCAGATTAAGAGGAAGCCCAAGTCAATTTTAAACCAACGAAATCACCAAGTAGTAGTATCAACACCGAGGGTGGCTGCACGAAGCAGAGGAGATACAGGGATGTAGGAAAGATCCCAGTCTCTTGTGAAAGAAAACTTTTGTATCTCATTATAATTGAGGAAGCCATGCTGATGGCTTTAGAGAAATTTCTGACTAAGACTAAGGCTTCCCTTTTTCTTTCTAGGCTCTAAATTAATTTATTGGTTTTTAAAAAGTAAGCATTGCATAAGAAATGATCTGTTAGTGAATTTTACAGGAAAGTTTATTTCCCACTAAGGTGAATATTAATGCTTAGTATTAATCAGGTACATAGATTTCTCAGTGCTTTGCCGGAGGCTGTCTTTGTTTTTGTTTCAGAAGAGTGAACGCCGAAGGTCCTCCATGTGCAGAGGCTCATATGCAGCCTTGCTCTGTGGACAAGACCTGAGAGGTCCCTGCTGCTGCGGGCTGGTGGGCCTGTGTTGATAACTGGGATGATTGTCAGCACTAGTATCAGACTGCGACTTTTTTGAAGTCAAAGCTGGCTTCTTCTCTATGCTTGTTTACCATTAACACAGTAAGACAAGTATGCATACTTTCCCAGGACAAACAGAAATCTAAAACTCTACAGAATAACAGAACATTTCATGTTTCCCTCCTTCTTTTCCCCTTGATGTCACGTATGTTTCTTAGATTTTGGATAACCCAAGACTCGAGGTGTTGGACTCCAAGAACACTAGTGACAGTTTACCAAGCCATGTTTGTCCAAATGAAGAATGACTGCACATGGCAAAAGGCCAAGGTTTTCCAGTGGCCCCTGAAACAAGATCAACAAGCGAATCGGTAGCTCTGTAGTTTTAGAGGATGACAAGGTTTTCAGGAAAGTTGAAGTTCTGTTAAAGGGCCTTCTCTTAAGCTTAAGAAGAGAACAGAGATGAATAATGATGCTGCAAAGAATACTGGCTTTTCTATTACTTTAACTGAAAAAGTATTTCACTGACATCATCTCAGACTACTCTTACCTTTCTGCAAGAGGAAGAGGGAGAGGCAAAATGGTTTGCTAATGAACATGTAGTAAATAAATAATCCGAATATCAAGCAGGTAGGACGATCATAGCTGGGGCAAGCCAGGTACTCTTTGAGCCATGTTTTTTTCTATTAAATGGTTTGTTTCTATTCTTCAAATGTGAAATGTGAGGACTTGTTCTCTCCGTGCAGGGATAAAGTATGTCTATTGTTGTTGCAGTTGGGAGGCAAGATCTTTAATCTTGGCTTTTCTTTCTGGCTTTTGAGGCCAGTGAAGGAATTCACGAACCCAATACTTTGAACCAGACCCTGCTCTGTCATTCCCCCAGGATTTTGGAGACACAGGGCCCACGTTTTCACATTCTGTCCATGCGAGAGACAAAATGGCTGACTTCCAATCAAAGTGATTCTTGTTTTAGAAATCAAATAAGGCTAATTTTTTTTTCCCCCAAAATCCTACAAAGAACCACCAAAGACCCCCATCAAAGGAAGTTTTGATACAGATAACTCTGCCTTCGCATTTCATAATGGACCTCACACACAGGACAGAGGCTGGAATGGAATCATTGCCTCAAAAGGTCAGGTAGGTAAAGGGAGAAAATTGAGCTCATGTCTTCGTAAGCTCAGAACACTGAGTCCAAATGTGAGGAAAAGCTGGTTTAACTGCTCTTACAAATTCATGAGAAAATCATGGGTTCCTGAGAGAAAAAAAAAATGTAAGTGAAGGACATAAATAGAGGAATTTTGTATAAGAGGCAAAATTTCTGACAAATATACAAGAATGTGTTTAATATCAATCAAAAAAAGTAAAAATGAGAATCATCAAAAAGCTACAGTTTGAAAATAGAATGAAATTATGCATACTATGCTATGTTCCCTCTCAGCTGAAAGATCTCTTGCAGTCATTTTTAACTATTCAGTGAGTGACTTGGTCTGCCATTTGGGTTTCTCAGGATAAGTTCAATTCTTCATCTATAAGATGGTCTTTTTAATATTTCCCTAAGTCTGTTGTTTATTTCTTGACCAAGTTTCTTTAGTTCTTTTAGATATCCATTTTTTTCTATCTTTTTCTCTTCCTCTCTTTCTCTCTTTCTTTCATAGTTGGTTTTATTTCTTTTATTTTTTAATTTTTTATTTATTTATACAAGCACTGGGTACAGTTAGAAGCGCGGGAGGGTGAGAGAATTCACCAGAGCGGGGAACAGAATAGGCAGACAGATGAAGTACACTGCTGAGGGGAGCAGTGGGCGGCAGGAGAGATCTGCGCGCCATGTGGGACCCTAGCTGGCGGCCAGGGATGGAACCGGCATTGCAGAGGCTGCGGGCAGCTTCACAGACCGGCACTCAACCGCTGTGCCAACGGGGAGGCCCTATCCTTTATTTATTATGGCTTTAAGATTTTAAGACTCTTCCCTAAATCCTTTGGTCATATTAAATGCATGTTTTCAGGTTTATAAAGTTCAACAGACAACCTCTCAGGGAATCAATGTGTCATTTAGAAATCTTTGAACTAGGAAAGTCATACATTCTCAATTTAGGCAAAACTACTCACTTACTCTATGCCTCCTTCTGTATTTGGCATATGTACCTTGCTAGAGGAACAATACAATATTGTGACTATAAACCTTATTTATTTTAATGCAAATGCAATTGAAAACCAGTGCAATCGTTTTTGTCTTCATGGAAATTCAGGTCAGTTACTTGAGATCGCGCCATCTCTAATGGGTAAAGCATTATTAGAAAATAAATTTTAAGATGATTAGTTTAATTTCAACATAATCCAGATGAACAAATTTGAGGTCTAAAGAAAACTCAGGCTGAGAAAACACTTTTGGGTTGAATGCTGAGAGTCAACCCCTAAGAGAATTTTTTCTTGTGAAAAGCAGCCTGCTAATGCTCAACTTTATTATTTGGGGGAGGTTTTTTAAGTTCAGAAAGTGCTAGAAATATAATTTTAGTTCTTGAAGACTGATGATATCACTGACTTATGGTTGGATTGTTGAGTAAAAGGAATTTTAGGCTAGTAGAATAAAAGAAGATTTTATTCCAGTTGTAATACCTGTCCTATGGATATGTTGGTAAAATTAAAATAATATGTATGAAATGCTCATGTTAGGGGGAAAGAATGTCCTGAGCAAACTCCAAATAGGTTTTGCGGACTCCACCCCCACTTCAGACCAAAGCCATCAAGACACTGGAAATGACAATATCATCACTAAAGGGAGGGTTGCTGGGATCTGAGGGTGGGGTAGCCAGCTTTGGTATAACACCAGACACATGGGCCTTGGGTCTCTCTCTTGGCCTCACGGCTCTTGCCTCTTCACCAGCTCTCAGCGTGCCATTGGGATTCCAGGTCAGCGGAATGGGTAGGACGCATTCATGAGTTTATCTCCCTTTTTTTCCTCCCTGAGTTATTCATTTCTTCATTTTCCCTTTCTTTTGTAAATAAATCTTTTATTAACCTTTTGTATGTGCCTGCAGTTGAGTATTAATAAGTCCCTTTCAAGCCCGCGGGTCAGGACCCATGTCAGGCAACCCATTTTATATCGGGGTTGCTCTGTAACACTCAGACTGTGTTTATTACATAATGGTTAGTTAATCAATAGTACTAATTATTATGGTGCAGGTTTTGATAATATGGGATCTTTGGATGAATTATCAATTTTATCTTTATATCAGGCATCATCTGAGATGTACATACATGGTTCTAAAGAAGTATTCTCTTCATGTGCTTGCTTTCAGAAATGCCTAAACCAGTTATTTTCAACCCAGAAGGTGGCTCATCAGGAGAATGGGAACCTGCAGTTTTGTGCTAAATCCCAATGTATCTGGAGAGGTATGGACCAAATCTTTTCTGCTTGGTTCCTTCCCTATCCTTCTTTCTCCCTGTCTCCTTCATTTCTTCTTCATCTTAAAATATATTATTTTTACATTTATTTGATTAAATCAACATAATGTAAAATTTAGATAATTATCCTGATTCTCTGCCTTAACCATCTCTACTCCCAAGTGTGATTTTTCTAGAGGCGACCATTCTTAGCTCTTCCAGCTACCCTCTTCACTCCCTGTTTTTCCACCTATTTTCTAAATACTATTTGTGAACTGCCATTTTTTTTTACATTTTTTTTATTTTATTATGACTTTTTAGCATAGTATGTAAAAACTTAGTTCTTTTCCTACCTCATAGATCTCCTTCAGTCTACTTATATCACACTTTTTATTTATTTTTAATTTTTTGAGATAGATTGGTTTACAACATTGTATTGATTTAGAGGTACAGGACATAGGATCATACCTTTTAGGTGTGTGTTACCACATTGTACCCACTATCAAGGCATTTAACCCACCATGAAGGCCTCCACCATAGTCCACTGTGCCTGCTCCCCACTTTGTTCTCCCCTCAGCTCCCTCCTGCTCTGGTAGCCTCAATTCTACAGGAAGAGTTTATTATTGGTTTGGTTTTGAACCTTGTTTTTTCTTTATAATCCACATTTAAGTGACATGATTTAGTATTTATCTTTCTCCTTCCGACTTATTTCTCTTACCATGATCCCCTCCAGTTCCATCCGTGTTGTCACAAAAGTCAATAGTTCATCTTTATTTATGGCTGAGTAGTATTCCATGGTGTATATACACCACATCTTCCTAATCTATTCCTCTTCGTTGGGCACTTAGGTTGTTTCCATAGCTTGGCTATTGTTGATGAGGTTTTCTTGGAGTTAGGAGTGCGGGGTCCTTGGGTTCACTCTGGGAAATGTTTCAGCAGAGCTCCCATTTCAGCGACATGCAGCGAGTTCCCCAGGCAAGTTTCTCCATGAGACACAGACATTAGTTATATTTAAAGGGCAGGTTTATTAGGGAAGGATAAAATAGCTAGACACTTGCAGAGACACAAGTGGGCAGGAAGAGCTGCCCCATGTGTGCTAAGAGAGACCTGCATGGTTGCAGGCAGGCAGCTTTGACAAATCTTGGGCAGGCAAGAAGCTGCTGCCCTGGAGGGAGAGAGTTGGTGAAAAGAGGCACCTGCATAGTCACAGGTAGGCAATGGGAGTGCTGCCCCGTTGTGAGGGTTGCATTAGGTTTTTATCATCTTCAGGGAGGGGCTCATCTTTGTGGGTGGATGGTTTGTGTCCCTTGTCCCTGACATTTCCTGTAGCGGTCTGATAGTTTCTGGGTGTTGCGCCTCCTGATCTGGGCATTGATGTCTAAGGGTCTTGGTTTCTATAACTGGGTTAATGGATTATGCTAATCCCCTCTACCCCTACCTCCTTGTGTGAGTTAGGTTCTTGACCTTGTATCTCCTTTCCTCCATCATTATAAATAGTGCTACAGTGAACAAGGGAGGGCAAATATCCTGATGATTCCACTCATATGTGGAATATATAGAAAAAAACCCAGAAACTGTTAAAACTAAACCAAAACAAACTCTAAAAAAATGGCTGCAGAGTTAAGGTTGTTAAGGGGGAGGGAAAGTGGTGGTGGAAAAAAAAGAGAGAGGGGATCCAATAGCTTAGGGTAAAGGACTATGGGTGTTTTGGTGGTAAGTGTGGTGGACATCTGAGGAGATATGGAGCTATTCCCTTAGATGAGATACAGTGCTGTAAACCAATATTATTTCAATTAAAAAAATTCCAAAAGCTGTCATTGTTACATTGTCTTTGCCTCTGCTTTGAAAATCTGGCTAAAAAAAAATACAGTTTATGGCAAATATTGTGCACAGACTTATCATCCCTATCCCCCATGGCTCATTGTATTTTATATAGATACAAAGGTTATTTATTTAAACAATCCTGATTCCAAATCTTGTGCATATTTTTCAATGTATATAGGTACTTGAGGAAAATGTCTTAGCAGTAATATGTCTCACTGACTGAATTTTAAAGTATTCTACTAGCAACAATAGTAGCATTAGTGAATCTTTAATTTATAATATGGACTGCAGAAAAATATGACTGTCTGTTTTCCATATAAAAAATAAATGTGTTTGAGAAAAACAAAACAAAACAAGATAACTTGCTGGAATTTTAACTGCAATTGATTGACTCTCTCAGTCAAGTTGGAAAGAATGGAATCTTAATAATACTGACACCTGGATCTCTTTGTCTCTTTAGGTTTTCTTTGATTCGAGTTTTGAGTTTTTTAGTTTTCTCCATATAGCTCTTGTACATATATGTTAGATTTATACCTAGGTATTTAATTTTGGGAAGTATTAATGTAAATGGCATTAAATCAGACTCGGACTTTTCCAGAGTCTGGGAGGCAAACTCCAAGGAGCTTGGTTCTTTTCTCAGTGAGGAAATAATTCAGTATTGAGAGCAGAGTTAGGCCGAAAAGCAAGAGATTGATTATCAGATAAGAAAAGGACAGGAAAGCTCTCTAAACAGGGAGGGGTCCCCAGTGGGTAGCTGCTAAAGAACCAAGAAACAGGAGTTTATATGAGCGTGGAGAGAGGACTGGGGCTGAGGTGCCTCAGCCTTGTGTCCCCTTGATTTGTGTAAACCCACTGGGTTTCCTTTTTTTTTTTTTTTTAAAGATTTATTTATTTATTCATACAAGAACTGGGGTACAGGCCAGAGGTGAGGGGGTGAGAGGATTCACCAGAGACAGAGTGGAGAGCAGAACAGGCAGACTGAAATATAGTGCTGAGGGGAGCAGTGGGCAAGTCAGGAGAGGTCTGCTGCACCATGTGGGTAGCTCCCTGGCCGGGGATTGAACTCATGCTGTAGAGGCTGTGGCTAGCTTCATAGGTTGTGTCTCAACCCCTTGCGCCACCAGGGAGGCCCAGGTGTCCTTTTTTGGTTATTCTGTTTTCTCAGAATGAACTTTTGGGCATTGCTTCAAAATTGTGTTGATTTTCTGAACATACAGTTTTTCCACTGAGTTGGGACACCCTGACCCTGACAACTGCCTGCCCAGCCTCACTTCCTCTTTCATTTCTAGTGACCACAGTTCGGCCACAACTGCAGGTTTTCACAGCAAACACCGAGGCACTGAGTGACAACCTGACTACTTGCTAGCTTTTGTCAGAAGCCATCTGGTCTCAGAGCCCACAAGTTCTTTGGGTGGGCTCACAAGTCCTTTGGGTAGACTCATTTCCTGTCGATAGTGTCATTCTCAGTTGATCATAAGCAAAGTGGTTGGAGAGAGGAAAACGGTGGCTTGTGGTTTAGACTTATTGGGGTCTTTTGATGAGAATTAAAGCCAAGCTCAAGCGATAACCTTGAACTCAGTGAGTCATGGGTAAGATAAGCAAAATGTATCTCTGTGTGCTCCGGTATGGAAAGAGTGAGAGAGCCAGAATCAATGAATCAACAAAAGACTCAAATGGGGGTTACATTTATTGTAATTGTTGAATTGATAGATACATTGATAAGCAAAAATTAGTTTCATTTGAAAATCTCAAATGATCATAAATATTCAGAACATGATGTATTAGTATCTCCATGAGCTTCCTCAATACTTGTCATCTGTGTTTAACCATAACAATTGCTTTTTATTAGAAAATGCCATTTGTATTTTTATAAATATAAAAATATATTTGTTTAATACTTATGTCTTTTTTTTCCCTTTCCTCCCCCTACGACTTCAAATTCAGTTTTATTATGATGACAGCATCTTTTTTCACTCCATTTTCTTTTAATGCCTGCAAGGATAAATATGTCTGCCGGATCATAGCAATGTATAGAACTGTTTGTTTCTTATAGGCTGTAGAGATGGAGGCAGAGCTGAATCCTTCCATCTTAAAAGGTTCAATGATATAAACTACTCCACACTCCAACCAGAGGTGAAGATTCATCTTACTGGTCTTCGAAATGATTACTGTAAGTTATTGTTTAGATTGTGAATTTAAATACTGAGTGACAAAATGCTTTCTGTACTCAGCCATAAACTTGAAATTTGATTCTGGGAGAACCAATGGGTCTAGTACTTTCTGTTCAAACAGTGAACCACCCAAATATGATTACTATAGTTGTTTTTCCTTTATGCAGTTTTCATGTTAGGGTCTTCTTGTTGCTGGCGGGATGTGAAGAATATGCATTTTGCTTTACTGTATAAGAATGAACTGTACAAATCGTGGCCTATTCTTATGTAGATACCAAACATGGGTAAATCTCATTGCTTCTACTCATTACATGTCTATCCTATAATCTAAATAGTTGGGAAGACAGTACTATCCACATGGAACCACCATTTTACCAATGCATTATTTCAATAATAACTTATGGAATCTAAGAAACTATAGGTCTATAAGATGCTCAATGATCTTTGGCATTGTCCAGAGAGACTTCACAGAGTTATTGTGTTGCTGTTTCAAATCTCAGTTCAATTCACAAAGGCTTTGCTAAGCTGATTTGAGTTCAAACCCTGCTTACATGATTCAGAAGTCAGATTGCAGTGTATGTGGTTCATACACTCACAATACATGGTGCCTTTCTCTGGCTCTCTTCATTCTTGGACTTTGACCACCAAGCTCCCTTTTTCTGGTTCCTCTAATCAGGAAGATGCCTTATAGATATTTCAGATCTATCAGTTTTCATTGCTGGTTTTTACCCTCAGGGCAAAACTGTCTGAGAAAAAAAGTGGGAAACTCATCCTTATGCTGGTTGTTTCGCCAAGTATTTTTTAAAGAAAACTTTTTACTGAGGTATAATTGACATATCACGTATTGGTTTCAGGTATGCAGCATAATGATTTGGTATCTGTATATACTGTGAAACAATCACCATGATAAGTCTAGTTATCATTCAGTATCTCCAAGTTTTGATTCACAAACTTATTTTATCTGATTTTACTTATTTTCCAGAGTGTCAAGTATTTGTTTTTTTATATTTTATTCAGAGTATGTAGTATTATTAGTGAGATAATTTTAGGGGGCTTAGACCTTTAATTGAAATAGTGTGCCTTATAATGTTACACTGATAGGTGTCGGTCAGAATAGGAGCTTCTTATAAGAAGTGAGATAATAGGGTGTACTTAACATGTGGCCTTAGCAATCAAAGAGTTCATATAGTATGAGCTAAAGAATACTGGTAAGAACTTTTAGGTATCAGAAGTCAGTGAGTACCATTTCTAGATATACTGTAATTGGTGGCTTTTTACATTAGAAATGATAGTAGACATGGAATATTACTCAGCATTCAAAAAAGATAAACACATGCAATTTGCAGCAACATGGATGGCGCTGGAAGGGATCATGCTCAGCGAAATTAGCCAAAAAGAAAAAGAAAAATACCGGATGGTCTCACTCATAGCAGGAATCTAGAAAACTTAAATAAGGGACCAGGAAAATGAATATAAGAAAGTGAAAATCAAAATCAACAAAAAACTATGAACCAGAGACACTTTTTGGGGGTGGGGGGCGGGAGGGGAAGGATTGGGGTCAGAATGGGGGGTTTGCAATTGTATGGGGGAATATAAAAATAAAATTTATTATTTAAATTAAAAAAAAAAAAGAAATGATGGTAGAATCTCCCATGTGGGTATCCTAAGTCTGAGCATGTCTCCATAAGAATAATGTGCATTTAATTTTAGTGATCTGTTAGATGAAATCCATGTATACTAATAATGAATGATGAGACTTTAACGTTCTCTAAATGCCTCTTAATAAGTATCTGAGCACGAGTGGTAAGTGTCATTGCTTAGTAGACTGTGAATGTTGTCAGCAGATTCTATTCTAGTTTCCATTTTGAACTTCTAATGATCTGCTTGAATCGATGATTTTGTTTTCCAATTTACCGCAGGGAAGGTATTAAGCATTTTCCTTTACCAATAGAATAAATTGTTTATCTGAAAACACTTTATTTGGTTATATAATCACCCTAATTTGAAACACTTTTCTTATAGATCTGAATATACTAGATTGGAATTTTGAAAATCTTGTTGCTGTAGCCCTTGGATCTTCTGTACGCATCTGGAATGGGGAAAGCCACAATGGGATTGAAAATATAGACTTCAGTCTCACTTGTAACTATGTATCTTCCGTGTCCTGGATTAAAGAGGGAAACTGTCTGGCTGTTGGCACCAGCGAGGGAGAAGTGCAAGTACTGGATACCTTTTTAAAATTTCTGATGATGTGCTCTGTATAATTGCTAGATAACTAAAATTGACTTTTTTTTTAAAATAATAAATTTTATTTTTATATTCCCCATACAATTGCAACCCCCCCATTTGGACCCCAATCCCTTCCCTTTTAACAGCATGCTAATATAAAGGAGAGTCTTTGTATTGAGATATACTTGAAGCTGTTGTTACGGAGAGGACAATGCTAAGTAACTGCCTGTTCACTGTTTCAGCTATGGGATGTGGTCACAAAAAAGCGCCTGAGAAATATGCTGGGCCACTTGTCTGTAGTTGGAGCTCTGAGCTGGAATCACTGTATCCTCAGCAGGTAAGAAGCATCTTATTAGAATCAATTGTATTTGTGTCAACAGTTGACTGTGGGGCCTGAGTGAATAGAGCTATAACACTTAAAACCAAAATCAAAACTGAAAGAAAGACAGGGGCTTGCCTATGTTTAATCAGGCACCTCTTTTTCCTAATAAACCTGCCATTTTTTAAAAGATTTATTTATTTATACATATAAGGATGGGGGTACAGACCATAGGTTGGTGGGGGGGGCGGTGAGAGGATTCACCAGAGAAAGAGTGGGGAATAGAACAGGTGGATCTATGAAATACACTGCTGAGGGGAGCAGCAGGCGAGACAGGAGAGGTCTGCTGCGCCATGTGGGTCACCTCCCTGGCTGGGGATCAAACTTGTGTTGCAGTGGCTGCTGATAGCTTCATAGTGTTGCGCCTTAACCCCTTGTGCCACCAGGGAGGCCCCCTAAACCTACCCTTTCAAGATGCAAAAAAACACCTACCAAAATAAGGCAGGGCATTACTTAGTGTCAGCTATGATCTGACACACAGAAGTATTCAGATTTTCTGGGGATGTTCATGGTCCAGGGGTCACATGGTGGCTATGTGCCTACAGTGTGTGCAGTACTGGAGTGTGAGGTCAAGATTCACTAACTTGTTCAGATAAAATGTAAAATTTAAGTTTAAGCAAATAATTTATCTGTAGAAAGTCATACCTACTAGAGAGATATTCAGCTGAAATCAAGTATTTATTACTATCTATATCAATAATTTGGAATAGGCTAAACTTTCTGGATACATTCCCAGTTCAGAGACCCACAGAGGTCTTGTAGCTCCTGCAGTTTAGAGATTCTCAAACTGGAGAAGCATCAGAGTCACCTGGAGGGGTCCTTAGAAGAGGTTGCTGGCCTCACTCCAGGAATTTCTGAATCAGTAGGGCTGAAGGTGTGCTGATAATTTGCATTTCTAATTTCCCAAATGATGCTAAAACTGTATCATTTTGAAAACTGCAGTTATAATCTAATTGCTTCTTTTTAACCAGAAAAGTTAAATTTTCAGTTTTAAACCTGCCCTTTTATCCTTGGGCAGTGGATCGAGACTGGGCCGTGTGTATCATCACGATGTTCGGGCAGCCCAGCACCTTGTTGGGTCGCTTGGCCACAAGCAGGCGGTGTGTGCCCTGAAGTGGTCCCTGGATGGGGGGCTGCTCGCCAGTGGCTGTAGTGATGGATTGTTGACTCTCTGGCCCCATGATCCAGGGGCGAACCCACAGCGTCAGCCGCTGAAAGTTATAACCCAGCCTACAGCAGTCAAGGTAAGAAGTCCAACAACTTGCCTGATTTCCCTCTATCAGAGAGCACCGGCTGTCCTCCACACATGAAAACAAAGCCTTTAAACCTAGAGTTTGAGATTTTCTTGTTAACATTTTTTAAAAAAAAGATTTATTTATTTATGCATACAAGAGCCAGGGTACAGGCCAAATGTGCGGGAGGGTGAGAGGATTCATCAGAGACAGAGCGGGGAACAGAACAGGCAGACTGACGAAATGCACTGCTGAGGGGAGCAGTAGGCGAGACAGGAGAGGTCTGCTTCGCCATGTGAGACCCTCGCCAGCTGGCCAGGATTGAACTAGCGCTGCAAAGGTTGTGGACAGCTTCACAGCGCTGCGCTCAACTGCCTGCGCCACAAGGGGAGGCCCTAGAGTTTGAGATTTTCTTTCTTAGAGTTTGTTTTGGATTTTGCCATCACATTCCTGGAAGACAGCCCGAGTGTCAGGTATTTTGGTAGAAGGTGATTGAAAGCAAAGTTAAGCTTGAGCTTAAGGAAAAATAACAACAACAACTCACACACACACACACACACACACACATATATATTTTTCCTTATCATTTGAGGAGTTAGGTATATTCAACTGTTGCAAATATTGGCTGGGACTAGGGCCTTAAATAACATCTGTAGAGTCCTGTCTCTGACACTTGGCTCTGCCTGTCTTTGTTTAGTTTCGTTCTTCAGTCAGACTCTGTTTCGTGGGCCTAATGGCTCTTGGCTACTGCAGATGCCGATTCTCCCACATGGTATCTGCTTAAGAAACCGTCTTTCCTCTTAGCTGGTAGAAAAGTCCCAGTGAGGACTCTGGGCTTGCTTTGCTCACGTTCTCATTTCTCAGTTGATAGTTGCTGCCAGAGAGATGGGCACGTTGACCTGTCAGGCCTGGGTCATGAGCTCACACCCGAAAGGAGACCCATGACCAGGTGGAGACAAAGCAGACTGTAGAGTTAAATCAACACTCTCCCATACTCGTACAATCATTTCTTATTTCTCTGTATTTAAACTTTTTAATTCTAGCCAACAAATTCATGCTTTTATTCCTGGATGATTTGGTGTCACAGATTTCTTGGCCTCAAAGCAGTCCCAGAATATTTATCATTCGTATAACTAATGATTCTACTTTAATAACTATAAGCACATTTATTAGAATGAGAGATTAAAAGTTATTTGGGGCCTCCCTGGTGGCGCAGCAGTTGAGCGCTGGGTTGCGAAGCTCCCCGCTGCCTCTGCAGCGCCAGTTCGATCCCCGGCTGCTCCCCGGCCACCAGAGGAGGGTCCCACATGGCGGCAGACCTCCCCTGCCGCCCGCTGCTCCCCTCAGCAGTGTACTTCGGTCCTTCTGCCTGCTCTGCTCCCTGCTCTGGCTCTGGTGAAATCTCTCACCCTCCCGCGCTTCTGACTGTACCCAGTGCTTGTATAAATAAATAAATAAATCTTTAAAAAAAAAAAAAGTTATTTGGAGTTTCCTAATATAATATGGAATGTATAGTTCTTGCTGCTACTGTAGAGTGCTGGCCCAATAACTCTGGTATGTAGTTTTTAATGTCTATAAAACATTGAGAATGATTTTAGATCAAAATTCCCATTACTAATGACTTGAAAAAAATCTAGGAAAAATATATGTAAAACATGCTGCCTGCAAAGAAAATACTAAATAGCAAAGTAAAGCAAAATCAGTAACTAATATGAAAAACCCAAGTCAAACAAACTTGTCTTAGAACCTTGTTGACAGAAATACAATGTATTGAACTAAGAGAGATTTCCTGGGACCTCTCTCCAAGCCTTATGGCAGTTAATACCTGAGAATTGCAAGGACTATCACTAGTGTGAGTCTCTTCACAATCCCCACCCACTAACCAACTGATAAAGCAGGAATGGCCTTTAGAGTTTGACTTCTGTATACTTCTGCTCATGATGGAGCTTCTAGTTTTGTCCAGACAGCTTGGGCAAAAGGTAATTTAGAAGTCAGGTATTTAAGAACGTGATTACTAATAATTTTAGTGTAGTCAGACAGCGACTGAAGCTAAATTTGCTGGGGCGATAGCAGCTGTTGGCCAGTCAGGCATTTTTCCCTCTTAAGCTTCTCCAGTTTTGGGGCTTTTATGGTTCAGTTCGTCATCTAGCCTTTAATCCATTTTAGATTCATTTTTGTGTTTGTGTTAGATAGTGGTATTGTTTCATTCTTTCGCATGTGGAAATTCAGTTTCTCGACACCATTTGTTTAGAATGTGTTGAATGTAGTTTTTCATCTATATTGGTTATATGGATTTTCTGTGTTGAAAACATTTGGAATTGTTACCATAATTTGAGGAAGAGCCCTGTTGAGGTGCCTTCTCCTTCAGAAGTGATTTAGTCTCCAAGAAGTAATTTCTGAAGAGGCAGTTGCTTCTGTCTTTGGTTGGAGACCCAGGAGAGAGAGCTATGCTGGGTGCAGACATCTGGGATTTCAGTTACCACAGAGCAGCTCAGTCGCAACTTCACCTTCTCTAAGTTGACCTGCCTATGTGACGATTTGCAACTTTCAAGGCCATGGATTGGTGCCCCTGGCAGTCTGCAGTTCTTGCTATTGGAGGAGGATTGAAGGATGGACGTTTACACATCTTGGACATAAATACTGGAAAAAGCATCCAGACCCCAACCACCAACTCACAGGTAAATGTCTCTTCTGAAGTTCACCTTTATTTTGATCAGAATCTTGTGAAGATAATTAATGAGAGAGCACAGGACCCAAACATGTCTCAGTCTATCTCCTGAATCCACAGGAGTTTCAGTTCTTAAAAGCTGAGCCACTTTTTGGTAAGACCTCTTTGTGTACAAATGAAAAGTGAATTTAATTTGTTTTCTTTTTTTCACATTTCCTTTCTTTCTTGGCACTGCTTTGACTGTGAAACTTGAGAGCAGTCTGGCTACCCATGGCCAATGACATTAGTCCATTTAAGTTTATACCTTAATTGCACTTCAGCCTATTTATACATTTAGTTCTTTGTTGCTAGAATTAATGTAATTATTCTTTCATCTTAACCCCGGCTGTGCTCTAGAGGATGGGTGGAGACAGACTTAGACTAAGTTTAAAACGCATTTATAATGAATCAGAAATGGACATGATTCTGGTATTTTTTTTTTTTTTGGTCATTATTACAGATTTGTTCCCTAATTTGGCTACCAAAGACAAGGGAGATTGCAACTGGTCAAGGCACTCCTCAGAGTGACGTGACTATGTGGGCCTGTCCTGCTTTGGCCAGATCGGGTGGATTTTTTGGTCAGTATTGATAAGTGAGTGAATAAATGACATATACTGATAATAAAATGACCTGTGATTGGCAGGAAATGCCTGGAATGGAAGAGTTTCTCCTTCTGGTTATCTGAAGCATATATATCTTCTGAAGAAAAAGACCTATACCCACCATACCTTAGGTGTATGGATGGAGTGCTTCTGAATTGGACTAAGATTCTTCATCATTTAAAATTGATAGTGCATGGATGATGTGGCAGGCACTTTTTTGGAGTACTGGGTGTATAGACAGGTGAGTAAGACAGACAATATTCCTGTCCTCATGGAGCCTATTCTTATGTGAGAGGAGACAGACAGAAAACCAAAACTAAAAAAACCAACACAGGGCCTCCCCGGTGGCGCAGAGGTTGAGCGCTGGGTTGCGAAGCTGCCCGCGGCCTCTGCGGCGCCGGTTCGATCCCCGGCTGCTCCCCGGCCACCAGAGGAGGGTCCCACATGGCGTGCAGACCTCTCCTGCCGCCCGCTGCTCCCCTCAGCAGTGTACTTCAGTCCTTCTGCCTGCTCTGCTCCCCGCTCTGGCTCTGGTGAATTCTCTCACCCTCCCGCGCTTCTGACTGTACCCAGTGCATGTATAAAACAAAACAAAACAAAACAAACCAGCAAACAAATAAATAAAGCATGTCTCTATAAAAAAAAAAAAAAAAAAAAATTAAAAAAAAAAAAAAAAAAAAAAAAAAAACCAACACAGACGTACAGCTTCTGCTGTCAAGCTGGCTGGGCCTCTGTTTGGCTTTTATATCCATTAGCTGTTACACTGTGTGATTTGGTAAATAAAATACAGGCAGCTCTTGAAAAGCCACTTTGGTGGTTCAGGCATGAGCATAGGAGCAATGAGAATTGATCATTTGCATATTTTTAATCCTAATATATTCAATTAGAGGACCTTCTAAGATTAGAGAAATAGTTTAAATCAAGTCTTTTTTTTATAAATTTTATTTTTATATTCCCCATACAATTGCAACCCCCTTATTTTGACCCCAATCCCTCCTTTCCCCTCCGCCCACCCCCCATAGAGTGTCTCTGGTTCATAGTTTTTTGTTGATCTTGATTTTTACTTTCTTACAGTTATTCTTTTTTCTGGTCCCTTATTTAAGTTTTCTAGATTCCTGTTATGAGTGAGACCATCTGGTATTTTTCTTTTTCTTTCTGGCTTATTTCGCTGAGCATGATCCCTTCCAGCGCCATCCATGTTGCTGCAAATTGCATGTGTTTATCTTTTTTGAATGCTGAGTAATAGTCCATGGTGTATATGTACCACATCTTCTTGATCCAGTCATCTATTTTTGGGCATTTGGGTTGTTTCCAAAGCTTGGCTAAAAAATATGGAACGCTTCACGAGTTTGCGTGTCATCCTTGCGCAGGGGCCATGCTAATCTTCTCTGTAACATTCCAATTAAATCAAGTCTTAAAACCCTGTTCTTCATAAAATTATGACTCCAGGGCCTCCCTGGTGGGGCAGCATGTTGAGCACTGCACTGTGAAGCTGTCCACAGTCTCTGCAGTGCAGGTTCAATTCCTGGCCAGCCAGGGAGAAACCCACATGGCACAGCAGACCTCTCCTGCTTCATCTGCTGCTCCCCTCAGCAGTGTCTTCGGTCAGTCTGCCTGTTCTGCTCCCCATTCTATCTCTGGTGAATTCTCTCACTCTCCTGCAACTCTGACTGTACCCCAGTTCTTGGATAAATAAATAAATCTTTAAAAAACTGGGTTTGACCTATTTGGTCCTGGATGTAATGAATCAAGATCAGCCTTAAAAAAATGAAATAAAATGGAATAAATGAGAACGTTGGTACTATTTTGTGAAGCTTTGTTATGGTCATCAACACACATATGTGTCTGTGTATGGTGTTGCTACAATAAAATACAGGTAGCTCTTGTATTTGATACTGGGTAGTGGCAACAGTTTGAAAAATTATTCTAGATCATAGTCACATCTTTGCTAAGTTTTACAGTGATGATTCTCTGGGGAAAATTCCAGTTTTCTGACTGCAGCAGAGAGATAATTTACAATTGTCACCTTTGTCCCACCAAAAACTTGAAATTGCTTGAGATACTTAGGTCAGAAGGACTCTGGTCAAATTGGTTTCAGAAATGCTGCCTATTATAGCTTCTTATCCCAAATATTTATAATGCACATAGCAGTCTAGAAATAACTCTGACATAAGGAATCCTGCTTAATTTTCTTAACCTGGACCTCCCAAATTAATGTGAACATTAAACACTTTATTTTTCACACCCATTCAACTCATATAGAACAACTGTTTCACAGAATGTTCTTTGGGAAGTGATTAGTTGTATAAAAGAAAGGAGTGTTGCTTCTAGAATTCCAAAAGTAAGAATTCATGTATGCTTTGTGGGTGTGTCCTGCTAAGATACATCTATTTATTTGATTTGTTTCTTGAAACCTAGGTCCAAAGGGGATGACTTTTGGGGGCTAATATGAAGAATGGGGTGAGTGGTAGGAACAGAAAAATGGCAATTCCTGGGTAAATTAGGGAAGATAGAATAATAATAGTATGGGCTACATGGCATGTCATGGGCTAGGAAAGTTTCCCTAAAGTGATCCATGTCAATCCCCTGGATCCTGTGAATGTGACCTTATTTGGAAAAAGGGACTTTGCTGATTAATTAAGGAACTTGAAATGAGATTATCCGGGATTATCCAGGTGGGTCACAAACTCTTATAAGAGACATACAGAAGAGAACAGACACGCAGAAAAAGAGGTGATGTGACCACAGAGGCCGAGACAGGGGTAATGTGGCCGCAAGTCAAGACTGCCAGTGGCTGCCTAGATGAGACAAGGAACGAATCTCCAGAGGGAGCTGTAGCTGGCGCTCCTTGATTTGGGGCTTCTGGTCTCCTGAACAGAGAGAGAAGACATTTTCATTGTTCCAACTCACAGAGTTTGTGGTAATTGGTTGGCAGCCAAGAGAAATAGTCTAGAAAGGAGACATTGAGTATCCATAAGATAATTCACCACAACCAAGTAGGATTCATTCCAGGGGCACAAGGATGGTTTAACATCCGAAAATCAATCAACGTTATCCAACACATCAACAAAAAGAAATATAAAAACCATATGATAATATCAATAGATGCTGAGAAAGCTTTCGACAAAGTGCAACACCCATTCATGATAAAATCCCTTGAAATTCTTGGGATACAAGGAACATACCTCAACATCATAAAGGCCATCTATGACAAGCCAACAGCCAGCATCATTCTCAATGGTGAAAAGCTGAAAGCAATTCCATTAAGATCTGGAACAAGACAAGGATGTCCACTCTCACCACTGCTTTTCAATATAATACTGGAAGTCCTAGCCAGGGCAATAAGACAAGAGAAAGACATCCAAGGAATCCAAATAGGAAAAGAAGAAGTCAAACTATCACTATTTGCAGACGAATTGATATTATACATAGAGAACCCCAAAAACTCCACAGAAAAGCTAATTCAACTCATCAATCAGTTCAGTAAAGTGGCAGGATACAAAATCAACATGCAAAAGTCAGTAGCCTTCCTATACACAAACAATAAATCTGAAGAAGAAGAAATCAAAAAAACCATCCCTTTTGTTATTGAAACAAAAAAAATCAAATATTTGGGAATAAATCTAACAAAAGAGATAAAGGACCTATACAAAGAAAACTATAAAACACTGTTAAAAGAAATAGAAGAAGACACAAAGAAATGGAGAGACATCCCCTGCTCGTGGATTGGAAGAATAAACATTATTAAAATGGCCATCCTTCCAAAAGCAATATACAGATTCAATGCTATTCCAATCAAAATTTCAATGTCATTCTTCAAAGAAATAGAAAAATTATTGATGAAATTCATATGGAATCACAAAAAACCCCGAATAGCCAAAGCTCTCCTGAAAAAAAAAGAAGGGAATGGAGGCATTACACTCCCAGACTTCAAACTATACTACAAAGCCATAATCATCAAAACTGCATGGTATTGGAACAAGAACAGACATACAGACCAATGGAATCGAATAGAAAATCCAGAAATAAATCCACAGATTTATGGTCAACTAATCTTTGACAAAGGAGCAAAGACTATGCATTGGAGCAAAGAAAGTTTGTTCAATAAATGGTGCTGGGAAAACTGGGTCGCTACATGCAAAAGAATGAAGCTTGACCACTACCTCACACCATACACAAAAATCAACTCAAAATGGATTAAAGAACTAGACATAAGACCTGAAACCATAAAATATATAGAAGGAAATATAGGCGAAACACTACGTGATCTGCACATCAAAGACATCTTTACAGACACATCACCCAAAGCAGTGATAGTGAAGGCAAAGATAAACAGCTGGGACTACATCAAATTAAAGAGCTTCTGCACAGCAAAAGAGACAATAACAAAAACAAAGAGAAACCCCACCAACTGGGAGAACATTTTTGCACCCAACACTAATGATAAAGGACTGATCACAAAAATCTGCAAAGAGCTGATGAGACTCAGCAACAACAAAGAAAATAATCCAGTCAAAAATGGGCAGAAGAGCTAAAAAGAAACTTCTCTGAAGAGGAAATGCAAATGGCCAACAGGCATATGAAAAAATGTTCAACATCACTTGCCATCAGGGAAATGCAAATCAAAACTACCATGAGATACCATCTTACACCAGTGAGAATGGCACATATTAAAAAAACTAGCAACAACAAATGCTGGCGAGGGTGTGGAGAAAAAGGAACTCTTCTGCACTGTTGGTGGGAGTGCAAACTGGTCCAACCACTGTGGAGAGCTGTGTGGAGATTTCTGGACCTACTAAACATAGAGCTTCCATATGATCCAGCAATTCCACTCCTAGGTATTTACCCAAAGGACACAGAAACATCAATTCCAAAGAACACCTGCACCCCTATGTTTATAGCAGCACTGTTTACAATAGCTAAGCTTTGGAAACAACCCAAATGCCCAAAAATAGATGACTGGATCAAGAAGATGTGGTACATATATACCATGGAATATTACTCAGCATTCAAAAAAGATAAACACATGCAATTTGCAGCAACATGGATGGCGCTGGAAGGGATCATGCTCAGCGAAATAAGCCAAAAAGAAAAAGAAAAATACCGGATGGTCTCACTCATAGCAGGAATCTAGAAAACTTAAATAAGGGACCAGGAAAATGAATAACTATAAGAAAGTGAAAATCAAAATCAACAAAAACTATGAACCAGAGACACTTTTAGGGGGGTGGGGGCGGGAGGGGAGGGATTGGGGTCAGAATGGGGGGGCTGCAATTGTATGGGGAATATAACAATAAAATTTATAAAAAAAAAAAAAAAAAAAGAGAAAAAAAAAAAAAAAAGGAGACATTAAAAAAAAACCTCAGCCATTCAGGATCTTTCCCAGTCAGCCCTGACTGCTGTTACCTCAGCAGAGGCACAGTAGGGGCACCAGCTCTGAAGGTGGCAGGTTTCCCCAAAATCCCTAATCCTGGGATGTGATTTCTGATCACACTTTAGTTTGCTCCTCCTCAACCATGGCCCTCATAACGGGCATCATGAACTGTTTCTCCTTCTTCCTCCAGGCCACAGAGGCAGAGTGCTGCACTTGGCTTTGAGTCCAGATAAGACCCGAGTGTGTTCTGCTGCCGCGGATGGCACAGCCTATATTTGGAACTGCTGCTAGCCTCTGTCCCTCTGAGCTCCAGCTTCCTCCTTGCTCAGTGAGAGTCACCGCACTGACCTTGTCTTTTTCATGGGGTTGTTGAGTATCTAATGAGATGAAGTGCTTTTCCTGACTTGAGAGCCTGTTCTTCCTTAGGTGATTTTGTTTGCTCTGCTCTCATTGTATTTCCCAGAGGCTGTCTTTGACACTCCCCACCTCCTCTTTGCTCTTCCTCCTCCTCCTTCCCACTCCACTCTTTCTTGCTAGAGCTGTGTTTTCCCTGCTATAGTCATGTACTATCTGTAGCAGAGATTTCTTAACTTTTCTCCCAAGCTCTCGCCCCATATTTCTATTGGCCTCTGCATATTTGAGATCCTTTCCTCTCTTTCAACTTTGGCTCTAATATGCTTTCAATACAGTAAAAACACATTCACTTTGGACTTGCACCACGGACTTGGGGAACTGGGAGGAGACACAGGGGGAGAGACATGGAAGAGACACTTGGAAGAGACACGTGGGTGACAGACACATGGGGAGGCTGGCAGTGGCAGCCTTTATCTTGATTTGTACTTTGCTTTTTTGCTTCTCTCCTCCCAGACTTGCCTGGCCCCTTCTGTCCCTTTCCTATGATTCCCTACCAAGACTTGCCTAAGACTTGCTCGACCTTTCAGTCCTCAGTATCTCACTTTGGACCACCCCTAAATGGCTGGTCATTTGCCTATGAGGGGATGGGTAATTTTGGGTGTTTTACTTGGAATACTGTTTCTTCTTTTCTTTCTGTGCACACTAACCATATTAAAATATTTTTAAGCTAAGAGTCTCCATTGTATTTGTGCACACAGATGGCAGGACCTTTTAGAGCCTGCAAGTTTGCCTGTCCCAGGGTACCCCTTGGTCTGTGTTGTAGGGGACACAATCTGCCACTTCCCCAGACACCAGAGGTGAGGGTAAGGATGATTAATAAATCTCAGACTAAACCTGGCTATGGAAGTTTCCAGGAATCAAAGGTGGGATCAGAAAAGATTATCAGCCAGAGGTGGGGCAGAGATGATTATCAATCTTAGAAGACCAACCCAACCTGACCCCAGGCCATAATTTCCACAATAATTCTATCAAAGAACATTATAAAATAATGTTTTTCCCTTGCCCTGGTAAAATGCAGCTCTTGTTCTTCACAACTGCCCCGGAGTGTCTGTGCAGACGTCTCTCCTTCCTTGTTCACCATACCTCAATAAACTTGCCATGTGCTGATGAATGGGGACATCTGCTGAAATCTTTCTGAAAAGGATCCAAGAATCCTATGCACTGAATCCCATCATCTGAACTCTATCAGAATCACCCCACTTCTTCACAGGACTTTTTTCAAAACAAGCTTTCAGCCACTATTCAATACCCACTTCTTAGTATGGGATGGCAGCCACTGTAACCGTGTTGGACCTGCCCAGGCTCAGCAACAAGGAGAACCAAGGAATCATCCAGATAATCCAGGGCTTAAATAGGAACAACTGAGATAAGAGGCTGACTTTTTGGTGCATCATTTTCTTGTCTGGCCATGTGCATCTTTTATAGCCCCTTAAATTTTAATACCTACTATTCACTTACTTGCCTTTAGAAAATGCTCAAGGCATTTCCTGTTCCTATTTCTCACATAGACTCAGGGTCTTGCATGTAAGTATGAATAGCAGGTGTTGATGTGGAACAATGGCCTTGGAAGTGTCACCTCATTTTCTTTAACCCGCATGCTCCAGACTGGCTGTGTTTCCACAGAAATGATGAGTTCTAACTGTGTTTGTTACTAGACAGACCTGACCTTAGTGTCACTCCTTCTGGAATTTGTGGATAAGTAACTTTGTAAGTCACATAACTCCGGAACGACATCCATGACATCGGTCCCTTAATTGCTCCCTTGCGTTATCCTCCAGGTGACTGTATTATCCTGCCCCATATTGCAGGTGGTACCTGCCTACTACAGTGAGTGCAAAGAGACAGGCATGGTCATAGGAAGTGACTTTATATATAAGATCAAAAAGTGACAGTAAATGAAATGAAACAGAATGATCTAAACTGATCTTTCCATAGTCGTGTTTATCCAGTCGATGTGCTTCTGTGAGAGAAGAGTATAGATGCCAGGGAAGCGAGGATCTCCACATTTCCCTTTGGCGCCATGGGAAGTGATGCCTCTGAGCTCACCCTTGCATATCAAAGGACTGCCAGAGTCTCCCTGGGGAAACACAAGAGGGGTGATGGGGAATTAGCATGGAACATGACCATTAGCAGGATGGCAGAAATTTCATTAAATGTGAAGTTAAAACTTAGTTGAAACTTAATAGACACCTTGACCAATTGAAAATTACAGCTTAAAAAAACAGAAATGTTTGGGAATAAACTTGATTCATTTATAAACTAGTGAAAAGAGAAATAAAATATTTATTGTTTACACTAGCCACTGATTTTGATATTGATCCTCCATTTTAGAAAGATGACCCACCTGTTTGTCATTTCTTAAAATGCTTAGTAACTCAAGGGGTAAAATGGCCAAATGTAGATGGGGCAAAAGGCAAAGAGTAAAAACCATATTTTCAAGCATCCCCAGCAGGTAGTTATCTTCCAAAACCCCCAGCACCAGCGTAAACTTTGCCTTCACCATCTCCAATACCTAGAACCTACTCCCTAAGTTTCTTTGAGCAGCTGATGCTGGATGGAAAGGCTCAGAAATCAGTGATTACACATCAGAGCTGACTCCACACCTAGAGGCTTCAGTTATTCATAAGTTGGCTTTTTTCTCCCAGAACGTGCCACCTCTTGTGTGACCGCATATTCTGTCAGGGAACTCTAGAATCGCATCTCTAACTGTATGTGAGAACTCAAGTCTGGCTTTGTCCCTCAGTGCCCCAGCTTTGGGGAAGGCGGGTGGAGCTGGATGGAGGGCCTCCGAGGCCTGTGTGCAGAGCTGTGCAGTGTAAATCTACCCATCTTCCCCTTCCTGGTGATGTGAGGGCTGTGGGAAGCTCCCTTTGCAGGCAAAAGTTAGTCTTACACGTGTGTGAAATCAAGAGCCATGTGAGAACCCTGGGTCCACTTGAACAGGTGTATTTCTTTCCCCTGTCTAATGCAGTGCCTGACACTCTCAGAATCAGTCCTTAGATCTAATTTCATCAAGAGCCAATTCAGAGGTGTCTTGGGCATTGAGAGAATGGGCAGGACAGCTAGGTTTGGATGGCAAGGGAGGCTGGTGGGGAGCGGACAGACATCTTGGCATGCTGTGGAGGCCTCGGGATGCTGCGTGTGGGCTGCAAAGGCCCGAGTGTCGGGGTCCTTGGGTGCTCACGATGGGAGCTCAGAGTAGAAAATGTGTGATGGAAGCTTCACAAGGAACAAAACTAGAGGTGGGGGTTCAGATGATTAAAGAGTCTCTAAACTGGCTATGGAAATCTGAAGGCACAGACCAGAGGTGTGGATATGCAGTCTTGTTCATTATACAAAGAAACACCAGTCCTTACAGATGAACCCAACCAGGACTTAGACATGATAGGTGAAATTCCACAAAGGAATGACTCTACCCCCCTTTTCTACCACTTCCCGAAACCTCAAGGAACACTATATAAAACTACCCCAGACCTGGCAAAACGCAGGTCTTGTCCTATGACTGCCCTCCTGTGTCTATGCAGGGCCTTTCTTCCACCCCCTTCTCTTTTCCCTAATGGACCTATCCTTTAAAAATGCAGCCTTTGACTGTTTTTGTTTATGTCTTTTTCTTTATTAAAACTTGCTGTGTTTGCTGAATGGGAAATTCAATAAAAATTTTTCTCCGTGATAAACCAAGGGCCTCACTCAGGGATCCCCATCCTTTGAATCCCTCACTCAGAGTGGTGTTAGAAGGGCAAAAACAGATGAGGGAGGGCAAAGGAGAGAAAATGGAAGGGTACGGAAGACAAATGCCATCTTTTCCTGGGATTTGTCTGTCCTTCCTAAGAAAAAAGTCATTAAAATTCTGCTGAAGCTTATCGATAAGCTCCCGGCGAAGTCAGAGGCCTCTGAATCTCCCAATCTCTGGTGACCCCAATGCTGTGCACACTGCAAATCCTTTTCAGAGGACACTCTAAGGAGTTTTTGACAATGGAGCAAAGTCAGTACTGAGCTTAGAGATGGGAGTGTTTCTTCTACTCTCATCTTAAGTAGGGTCCTGCCCTCCCTTCTCGGGGGACTGGGGTGTGAGGGCGTGCACGTTTTCTGGCATGGGCCATGCTTGGAAGTTGTCTCCTGGCATTGAGTTTGGCTCTACAAAGTGATGGGGTCTAGCCCAGTACCTAGGAATGAAAAGCAATTGCCCAGTCACATGGCAGAGGGATTATTGGGAGGTGCTGTGATAAGAAAAGGGTACCAAAGGGTCTAATGGAACCCTGACTTCAACTCTTCTGAGTGCTACATATTTGCAAGTTTTGATCTCCATACATTAATATGAGAAAAGAAGAAAAAGTCACTTCTAAGTGGTTTTTGATATAAAACATAGAAGACCTAGCACTAGAGGTAAACTTGTTATTTTTCATGAACTCACCTGAGTTGAGAATATGAATTTATTTGACTTGGGTTTTATCAAACATTTTCCACTAGAACTCTATGGAAGCACTAGAACTCTACAGAAGACACGCCACAACAAGGTAAAGCAGGATCGTACTTTTTCTCTGTCTGCATGACTTACTCCAGCAGCTGAAACATGAGATCTTATTGTACTTACCTCACATGAGTCCTTTCCACCCTTCCTGTTTCCAGCACAAATCATATTCCGTCCAATCACAGGATCATTATTATAGTGATCTTTATTACTGCAGATTTTTCTGTCAATGATGGTGACACTGACTTCTTTCAGAGTGTCTGATGAAGACCCTTCGTTACTAATCTTCCCCCAGCCTGCAACTTGGCACTGGGTGTTTGGTTTCACATCATTCCCATTTTTAGTTAAACTGGGTAATGGAAGGGTAGTAACGTTTTCATTTATTGTTGCCCTTTTCCTCAACTGTTGGATGATTAGAAGAAAGAGTTAACAGAATGAATTAAAATATTCACATATTTGCTTAAATGCTAGTCCAACCCTCAGGGTTTCCCTTTGTAGTTGTGGTCTGTATGATACTGAAGTGGAAAATGTCAGGCTGACCTG